CGCTCACACCTATGTTTCATGTAGCTAAAAAAGAGACAGGTATACTTCTCAGTTTACTAATTCATTAAATATATAACTAGGAGAATATTTTCAAGTCTGTATTTATGTAGTATCACTTTAAGAGTTACTGATACTAGTTTTAAGTACTAAGTTAATATAACTTGTGATTTGGGAGCACAAAAGGATCAATTCTAACTGGTACCTGTAATTTTTGTGCCAAATTATGACGTAATCGATAACAACACAACACTAATTGAGATATATTTTCATATCGAATGTAATTATCATTCAAGCTTACTCTAATTGTTCTAAAACTTTTTTGGTCTCTTCAAATAGTTCTGCGCCCATTTATTTAATTAGACTCTTAACAGCTATTTCTTATTTGATTGTCATCATTGTCATAGTATAATAAGTCAAGTAGAGCAACTCCCGCCTGGTCGGCGTATAAATGCCTACACTTTGCTCGTAGCGATGAGTCGTTACATTATTTTGGTTGTACCTACAAATTGTAAACGTAATTTTAAAAAATTAAGGTGGTCATTTGAGTTTTTTCGTGCTGTATCGAAATAACCTTGGTTAAAGCGTGAAACACATTGACAGCAGAGCGGGTCGGGTACACGGCGGGTGTAATTCCGTGTACCCGTTCTCGCGACCTGACCAGCGCCCGACACGCACCCGTTCTCTGTGTGTTTCGTGCCTAAATGTAGTACTTACGTATTGATATTTTTACCAGTATAGCCAATAGGTGTCTCGATTATGAGAGCATAATTATGAAATGCTGAACAATTCTGAATTTGAGGCACTCTTGCAAACAACCATAAACACAATTTTAAACACGTCTACTATTTGATGTCATTTTTTAAACACCGAGCGAACACTTCAAATCTATAATAAATTGCGCGTGAGACATCGAGTATATAACCAAAAATAGAGACGAAATGTCATTTAATGTTTGAAAATTCTGAGTGTCGTGAATTGTTTCACTTCAAATCGACCAGTTTAACTTGAGCTGTGCTATAATGGACGAAAATTGAAAAATGACATATTTAATATTTAATTACCGATTGAACGTGATTCCGTTTGTTTTGTAATTAAATGTTTTGCTGTTTTTCCCCACACCACCGACTGGAACAGCCCCCCATTGTTAGAGATATTATATTTATTAGAATATACAGAATATTTTTGTAATATACGGAGACGTACACACAGGTCAGTTGTTGGCGCTTTACTATTTCAGCTTTCTAATTTGTGATTTCAGCGCAAACGAGAATTGATATTTAAAACTGATATAAGACCTATTTGCCTGATGAATTACCAGAGATGGATGGCTCATATTTCGTCTTTACTTCTGATTATATACTCGATGGCGTGAGACAACTCGCGCTGGGCAACTTGAGTGCCCCACGAGATTATGCGAATATGTGCGTCCGTGTCCGTACACGGCGTGCTGCGGGCGCGCATGAGATGTTTGTATGGCGTTACCATACTTCTTTTATTATACTATGTCGTTATTGAAATCCTCCGGAATTATTTGACATATATGTGAACTGAATTCTCTGTATTTTTCTATTAACAATGCTTTAAAACTTCAATATGAAAATAGATCTCTTACAAACAAAAAAAAATACTGATAGTTTACTTGTTCACTAAATTATAAGAACTAAAAAAAGTATAAACAAACAAATATCATAATTAAATCACGAATGGGATACAACAAAAAAGATTATAAAGACAATATTTACGAAAATCGAAAGAGTAAGTGTTAAATGCATAATATTTATTCTTAAGTACGTAACTGTAGTTCTGATTACGCAACAAGTAACTGTAATGCATAATTTGCCTGCAGTGTATTCGTGTTAGGCACATAAGAGGCAGAATTACGCGCTGAACCACGCTACAGTCACAAAATAATCAGTAAAAGCAAAATTAACGAAATTTTAACATATCCGAACAAAGCTCTTTATAATTAATTGGTCATTATAAATTGTTTTAGTTTAGTTAGTTCTTTTTTTCTATGTGCCTAACACTCAATAGTGACTTATTCTTAGTCATTTAACAATTTATCGCAATATTTCAGTATATTTATTCATCCGACACCATCAGATGGATTGCAGCTTTGGAACGTTTTCGCTTTGCATCCGACTCGTATTCGAGATTATACAAATCTAGAAAATTGCTTCTGGTTTCGCTTGTGCACCAAATCGGATTCGAATACGAAAAAAACCCGAATATCGCTTGTACACCTAGAGATAAAATGACACTTCGGACACCTATGACGTTTCGGACCGTCGTTTCTGGGATTCGGAACTGGGGGTCTACTCTCGATCTCCGTCCGACATCCGTCCGAAACAATTACTCTCAAATAAGCAATACTCGACCTAATGAAAAGACGCGTGATGCGAATGAAGCTTCATACTTGACACTTGTCTTTTAATTTTGTCGAATATTACTTATTTGACAGTAATTGTTTCGGATGGAGATCGAGAGTAGACCCCCTGATACGAATCGCACGTAGTGCTCTAACGCTCTTAGCATCCATTGAAATAATAATACAAACTAACTATTAAAAAAAACTAGGAGTTACATTCCACTTGCAAGAAAACTCTAAATAAAAAAGACTGGCCAGTTTCTCAATTTATGTGATAATGATAGATTCAAAATAACAAAATTGTTGTTTAGGCAGCTTGAACATAAAATACCGGGCAACATGTTGGCTAGCAAATTGAACTCGAATTGTGCAATGAACGAGTGGAGCACCATAGTGATGTTGTTTTCTATTATTAAATTTAAACTTAGTAAAGGACAATGGCAAACTCCCATATACATTTTTGTTGACATAATTTGTATGCGTCTGTTTATGAAAAATATGTGAAAAGTATGTTGAAATTCCTGAACAAATTTTGTTTTGGGTTTACTATTCTGAAAAGTCAGGAATTATAGATATTCCGGCTTAAAGTTTTGGAGGTTATATGTTACGTAATTGAATAAAATATATTCGGTGTATTATTATATCAAAATAAACCACAGAAGCCTTAAACAGAGGTAATAGAAACTGAATGGTGCCGTGGGTTTGTGACGTGACGAAAGTTCTGAGGAAATTATTCTGTGTACTGGTTTGGTCAAAAGGCGTGAAGTTAAGCCATAACAAAAAAACTGAGAATAACATACCACAGACGATTGCACTAGTAACTCGACAAATATTTTTTTTTGTGAAACGTGCCATCTATCCCTAATTTTGGGAACTTTTTGTCAGTTTTACCATTTTCTCGCGTGGCATTTTGGAGAAGAAATTATCGATTTTATTTTTTATAATGAAGTAGTTAATCTTTTGTTAGCTTATTACAAATCGGTCGAACCAGTACATTTGATGTTACGTGAACTAAATGTGGACCAGATCCATACCGCCGAAAAAGGCGGCTAGGTGTCGCTCAACGTTAAAACTAAGAACACTAATTAGTCATTAGAGTTTCTTTTAAATATGATTTTATTTCCAGACTTAGATAGGCTGCTATTATAATTTGAAAAATTAATGAATTTATTTTAATCAAACTTGTAATTAAGACATTTGAAGACACTAACGAATTCTTTTAACTATGATTTTGCCATTGTTCTTTGTTACTTCGGGATTTATTATTACTTATAACTAACATTTAAAAATAAGTTCAATCGATTTCGTAATTTTTCAGTTACATAATTTTTATTTTTTCTTTTCCACCTTTACAGCCAACATGTAGACAAACAAAACAGTTAATGTTTTGCGTGTCGTGTCTATAGCGTATGTTGACCTTTGTTAAGAGGTTGGAAAACTTGTTTTCTGTTAATAATCCATTTTTAACGATAGCCAATATCTTTTAAAAAAATATTTCTATTTTGGTATATTATTACCTATGGTGGCAACTCCGTGTGCTCTTTTTGTTCACTAAATAAAATAAGGTAAATTATCAACAATGCTAAGTTGCATTTTCCTGTCTCCATGTTTACATCATATCTTTGCACAATCGCAGTCTAAGCTGGTTAAGTAGTAACCAAGTCATTTGTCAAGTACCGATTTAGCAGTATTAGCATTGGATGCTTCCATTCGTGTAAATAAGATTTACGTACATTCTTAGAGGTTTATTGTGACGAAGGAATTATATTGTGGTCTGATAACATGTTGTTTTATTTTGATAACACAGCTGCCTTGTTCCCTTTTTCCCGTAAATAACCATCCTTATATAACACTTACTTATAATTATATAACATTTACTATAATATGATTGAATTGTGCCCTGTTACATAAAAGCGGGTTGGTCGGTAAATCGCTTATTTATTTTAATGAGATTCAACATTAAACAGTCTTTGAGAAAAAAAACTTTTCTTTTGTTTACAGAATTAAGTAACTTAATTATTTGTTGCTCATTTGGTGACACTATGTTAATGTTAGAAAAACTCAATGAGTAAATTAAGTTTCGACTTATATTTAATATTTAAAGTTGATGAGTGGTAAGTTGTGGTGTGGAAGTACCAACTGCTCGGCTTTGTTTATTAATAGCTGATTTCGTTTTTCTTCATATCGGGGACCGGCCTAAGTGGGAAAAGGAATCGCGAACTCAACACGCACCGACTGACCATTTTACAATTCAGAACTAAGTGCTCTGATAATAACTCTAAATAGAATTTAGATGCAGCTTAATTAAGCTGCTTGTTAATAATGCGAGGGATGTGCGATGTTGAAAACACATCAATATAGTTCATCACAGTGTTTCTAACAGTAACGAGCAAACTAGCGATGATAGCGATGCATCAGCAATCGATAGATTAAACAAAATGATAAAATGTTAGAATCCCCACATACGCCAATCCCCACAAAATCCCCAATCTAGTTGAAATTCCCCGCAATTTAGGGAATTTCCCACAAATTGGCAACGCTGAATGTGAATGTCAAACCGATTTTTCGTATTACTGAAGGAAGATACGTCTTTTTGTAGTGTGTCAAACGTCAGTTTGTGAATGGAAGCGCCCCAGCTGTGAAGCGTTAGCAAATAATCTTTTTAATGGTTTTATGAAATAAAACGCGGCTCACTGCAATGCCTCCGGTGAATCAACGTGGAAAAGGAAATAACAGGGACGACAGTTATCGCGACCACAGAAATAAAAATAACGAGGTAAACTTATCAAAGTTACTTAATTAAAAAACTATCATTATATTTTGGCAAGGTTGTTTACTTAAAGCGCGCCAACCACTGCGACGATGAGACGGCTTACATGTTGGCCAACATGTTCAATTGTTTACAGCGAGTGCCGAGTGCCAATTTGACGTAGGTAGAGCTTAATATATCCCACATTCATTTTATTTTTTAACACACGAAAGTAACGCAGAGAGAAAGACTGAAGCGCGAATGGTTGTTGGTAGTTAGCTAGGAGTTAGGACAGCTATCACCAAACATTAAAAGAATATATTCCGCATTACATGTCGGCTATCGGCGTTGATGGCAAACATGTTGGCTAATGGCGTCGTAAACTTACACTGGGTAGTCTGCAGATTGGCAGGCTGCCTCGCCTGCAGAAGGCGGTACAGTCGACTCGCCATTTACATCGAGTGTCTGCCGCCTTCGACAGACTACTTTGCGTTGTAAAAAACGACGCACCCGGTCGCTGTGGTCGACTTCGGCTGCAAACTACCATCGTCAGACGGCTCACTATTAAAACTGCCGCCTTCGGTGGGCAATCACAGGTCGACTGACGGCTTGGTGTAGATGCGCCATAAGACGCATACCTATCTTTCTATTTTGTGAACATGACCAAGTATATTCGCCAAATAATTGGGGCCCTTATCTTTGCTTTTAGGGGTCAAGGTTTTGCGTTCTGTGCATGCATTAAACTGGTTTTCTAGTAGCTGAAACATTATTTTACTCTAGTTTAACAAAAAAGTCAATCTTTTCGGAAATGGAAACATTTTTCCGATCTAAAGTCGACTTCGACGCTCGGGAATTTCGTGCTCCTAGATATTATGGTCAAATAAAACGTTAGAGATTACATTCTTTTTGTGGTCATAGCTGACTGAAGATTGTAAACTCATTAACCAGTTATGTCTAGTCTCAAATATTTATAGTGTCTAGTTTTACTTCAAACCACACTATTCTCGGTCATTCTCAGAATTTGGTGTTCTCAGCCTAATTGCCGTAGTCATTTTTTTCCTCACTTATTATACCCAATAATATTGAAATATGAACAACTAAAATCTAAGCTATTAAAATGTCTAAATGGCATTAGAATAGACAAAGTAGTTTTCGAGTTATTAAGACACAAATATTTTATGGCGACGGTAATTAGAAATTGGTATTTTACATGGCTGCGGTAATTAGAAAGTTCAAATATTTTTAAGAACTAAATTAAAAATAACAACTAATAACATTATATAAGTTTCATTTCCATTTTCTACTCTACTCTGCAATTAATTACACCGAAACAAAATATTTTTTGTTTTCTTTTCAATTTAAGTTTTTTTTTGTTATTATTATGATTAAAAAACCTGCTCTAAACAGCATATTATTGATTCCACTATTGGGTATTATGCCTCTTGGTATGATTTCCACTGTCCTTGGTTTGTAGCGATTCTGTTCCAAGTCAGCCCTGCTGTCGTTTTAATTTTGTCCGATCATCTCGCTGCTGGTCTGCCCACATTTCATCTTCCTAAGTGAGGTCTTCAGATCAAAACTCTCCGACTCCAGAGGTCGTCGTCTCTACGATATACTTCTCTCCGACTCCAGAGGTCGTCGTCTCTACGATATACTTGTCTAGCCCATTGCCGCGTCGATGACTTTGGTGCGTAAACGTATTGCTTTATTCCGAATGTTAGATATACATAAGTAGAGAGATTCCGATAATAATTCGTTCCATAGCTCTCTAGTTGACCTTGAGGCACCACATGATGAATTAACACCGTCAGAGTACATGTCTTGCACAGCGTACAGCGTACAGCGTAGGCCACAGCAGGTAAGACTCACTGGTTGTATAGTCTGGTTCTGAGACATTGTGGGATTTTTGCCCGGAACAGATGGTCTAATTTGCCGAAAGCTGCCCAAGCGAGTTGTATACGTTTGTCTATTTTTCCTCTCAATGACTCCCTGCCAAGTTTGATATTACGGCTGAGGTAGACGTAATCCTCTATTTTCTCGATCAGCTTGTTTCCCACATCAGAGTTAAGCTTAAGGCCAATATCTGAAGCTGCTCGACTGAGGTCTTTGAGCGTTCTATCGAGGTTTCCAGATTCCGTGAGCAGAACGACGTCATCCGCAAATCTTAGGTGATGAAGATATTGCCCGTTCACGTTTATGCCTAGACCATTCCGATCTAGTGTTTTGAAGACATCTTCTAGTGCTGCATTAGTGAATAGCTTCGAAGATATAACATCACCTTGGCGTACGTCTCATGGTATTGGAATAATCATTCAACTGTGCTGATGGTGTATTGTTATCGTATCGTGACTGTTTTGTATAGATTTTTAGCAGGGTAATGTACCTATAGTCTATTCTGCATCGCTGAAGAATAATATGAAACATAATAATTCAGCTGTATAAAAAAAAGACGTGGACCTGGTGTCAACAAATCCAGGCAAGCACAGGATTTCGAATCTTCGTCCAAGGGATTCGTATTTGTAGACTTTCTAGAAGAAGTAGATGGCTGACAAAGTTAAAATTATAAATAAATAATAATAAAAATAAAAATAATAATAAAATAATAAAAATAAAAATATTTTTTGTGGTTTTTTAAGAGCACGAAAGAGCATGAATTTTCTATAGGTTGAGTATCGCGAGTTTTTTGGGGATGGAGATTTTAAGGGATCTCTTATTTTGTGCCATTGAATTGTTCATTCAATTCAGTGGTTGGTATTTTTTCATGTAGCTTTTATACCATGCTTTGAAATTGATTCTGTTTTGTCTTCGATTTTTATTATGCTTTATTAACAGTCATTTCCCAAACTGGTAACAACTACTTTTGTCACTCTTCACTCATATCTCTCCTTCTTTTTCCGTCTCTTTCTTTTAAATCGCTGATTTAAAATTGAATTATTTTTTTAACGTTATCACTGTTGATGCGCCAGCAAGTCTCTTGTTTTCTAAACTTTCCTCTTTAATTTCTGTTTAGTGTTGAAAAAATATTGTTAATCGATTTTATTATAAGGTCTAATTATCTAGAATTCTGATTTGTATCATAATATGTTTGGATATGCTTTATACTGCTACGAAATATTTAAAACTCTTCAATGTTTTCATACTACGGTAATTTATACTACGGCACTTAGAACACGGACCATTTCCTAAAAAAATTCAAAAAGTGGAAGAGATGGAAAATACTCGAAAATCGTAATATATAGAGGCCTCTTAGCTCTTTTATTGTCGTTTGTTGAAATAAAAGAGCATTTCTTTGAAAAATGTAATTTATAAACAGGGGAACGGGAGTTAGAAAATTTTAAAACCAAAGTTATGGTAATTAGATATTTATATAAATTGCGAGCGGATACATACATACATTCTCACTAGTCAAGCGCCGAAACACGGCTGATAGCTCGCAATTCAGGCAATAGTGAATTTCAAATATTTCTTGGTTTAGGGATGACAACTTCGAAAATGAATGGCGATGGTAATTATACTTCCGGCCGGACACTCGGACATTTGATGGTAGATTTTAAGAGTATAGTCGTCGTGGATTATATTTTTATGTTATTACACGAGCAGTATTTCGCCATCCATGATATTAATTGGCACAGGTGTAATTCATTCCGGACTAAAATGAGAAGGAAATTTCCAGACAAATGTAGCGTCCGGACAGGCTACGGTAATTGGAGAACATGGGTTTGAAAAATAAAATATGTATGATAATTAAGTAGCAGAGCTAAAATCTTAAAAATATCTTCAGATAAACGTATGAACTTCATAAAAAAAATATTTGTGCTTCTTTATAATGTTATACAGAGACAGGAAAGGCCCGCGCATGACAAAATTTGCTGTTTTGAGAATGGCCGTTCTGAATAAAATACATTAATTATTTTTAATTTACCAACATTGATCTACCAAGAAAAGAACATTCCAATTCGCGCTACGTACTATATGCAATTTGCAATTCATTTGATAACTTCTTTAAATTTAATAATAATTACAAACTATGTATATAATGTTTAAGTAACTTAATCCTATTAATAGATTTTGTATTTCGCAGGCCGTAAAAAAGTCAAGATTTAAATCTAAACAGCGCTCTGAGGAAACCTCTACAAGAGTCAGCAAATTAAAAGCAGAGAACCAAATTTTAGAGGAGAAAGTTAAATCTTTGACAAAGGGACTACAACTGTTAAAAGAACTGTTTTTGGCTCATACTTCTCGTACACAGAACATTACAAATGACGGCACTGATTTGGAGACTATTCTTCAAGATATTCCAGACGAAAAAAACGACGCATAGCGAAAAAATTACTTATTTATAGTAAAAGAAAATAATATTAAAGACTACAAATCTGTATTACGTAAATTGTTTCATTCCTTTATTTTCTAGCATTATAGAGCTTTAAGGGTCAAGCAAGAGTAAAGTCATGACATTGACACTTACGATTTAAATTCGACTATAATGCCGTTTACGTTAAATTGCCGTTTGATCGTAATTGTATTATAGTACAAATGCGATCCAGTGTCAAGCTTGATGTGCTCTTGACTACTTTGTCAATTTTTAAAACTGGTTTTTATTAGTCTCGTTTTAAAAAATACAGGTTTTTACTGTTGAAAGTCAACTCTATTAGCATCTAATAATCTGCAAACATGGCGATACCTGTCAATCGTCATTTCAATATACAAAATATTGAATATGTTTATATATTGAATTGACGATAGGCGTTATTATTCTAAGACGATAGGTCTATGATGGAAAAAAAATAAAAGAAACAGAAAGAAACGCCAATTTGTGGCAACTTTTAACACAACTGTCAACTGAGTGACGTGATGACGTCACGTTACGGAACTTAATGCGTCAGTGATTCTTTTCATTCTTTTGCGTGTTGTTTATTTTTACATTTAGCAGTTTTGCACAATATTGTGGTTTGCGATACAAAGCTCGACAACAATTGAATTTGATTTCTTCTTCATTACAATATTCGTAAGTGTTTTAAACAGATCCAATGTCATTAATTGTAAATGATACAAGTTTGTTAAAAATTGCATCATATTTATCCCAGTAATTCCTTGTTTTTTTTACTTTCCCGTTTTCCTATTGCCTCATAATTGCTTCAACTTGTGTTATGTTGTCGACAGGAGCTTTAGATAACTTCACAAGAGACTCCTCATCGTCGATGTTCACTCGTGTGTTCGTGAAATAATTTTTGATGATATTAGACGCGAGTTACTACGGTGTCATGCCTCCTGTGAAGCAACGCGGGAGCAGACGGGGTCTCAGCGACGCTGACGACGAGGATGACGATTATCGTAAACGGAGAGACAGAAATAATGAGGTACAATATTTAAATATTAACGTTTTGTGGTATAGAACAACTCTTAAAAATATTAACACAATTTTTGTTAATAAAAAAATATTAACAAAAATTCTAAAATTGATGTACTCTAAAAATCATAATATGTTGTATGTCGCATCGTATGGTTTAACGGGCTGCTGCCATCTGCTAATTAAAACGCAGCAAGGTGACGAGTAATTAAATATCCGTTTTAAATAGCATAGTACAGAGCTCAAAATTCTCTGTATAAAAACAATTAAAGTGTCTGACATATCGGAATTTACTTTAATTGTGCTTGGCTAAAATATCATCAAACAATTTAAAGCTTCTGCAACAGGGTTCAACTTTTTGTGATATCATATTGATATCAAATCATATTGTCACATAGCCATATTTCCGTCAGCAGACAGAAGTGTTGTCTGGTACTCAACATCCAGGCATCTGTTCTGCCCTCGGAATGAAAAAAGGCACAAGGGCAGTATTTTGCATATGGTATGCTAAGTTATTGTATGAGAGCAGTGAGTATTGTCAGTAGTTCAGTTGACAAGAGTGAAAAGAGACTTACATGTGAATTTGATTCAGCAGAGGTGAAACTGTAGAGGCTTGAACACTGGTACTTGGTACTTGGTGTAATGGGCTGGTGTCCGCAACTCGACGACAAGGCGCCTATTTTGCGCGTATTGAACACTGGTATAAAGTTGCCTGCTTATCGGTATTACATGGGATATATCTATAGAGTGTGCGATGGAATTGCATAATTCAATTCCGCCTCTCCCTTTCCATCACCGGGGTACTAGCTAGATGTAGACTTAGACACAAAGCATTACACTTGATTATTTATATAGAGAATGGTTGAGGAGTGGATTTCATGCCACCCAAATGCTTATCATCAATCAAAGATATAAAGCTATAAATTTCATTCTTAAGAATACTATGTTACATGAGTAGCTAAGCTTCATATTGAACTACTACAAATATTATCTCTATATTATCTAATATATCTTATCCCATTGTGGTGCGAGTGACAACCTGTTTGTTCTTACCACAAAAATTATTGCATCATTTTATTTTTTTTGAGACTGGTTTTTTTTTTTTAATAATAACCTTGATGTGTTTGATAAGTTTTACTTTACATTGTATAATATCAGTAATAAGCTTCTTCTCTTTTGCAGGCAGTCAAGAAGTCAAGATACAAGACAAAGCAACGAACCCAAGAGACATTCACACGAGTAAGCAAGCTTAAGGCTGAGAATCAAGTTTTGGAAGAAAAAGTTAAAACATTGACTAAAGAACTTCAGTTTCTTAAAGAGTTGTTCCTTGCACACGCGTCTAATACGCAGAATGGTAAATTCGAGGGGGTTGACTTGGATAAACTTCTGGAGGATGTTCCCGAGGAGAAGCAGAGTAGTAATAAGAAATAGGTAAATTAAGGTTTTGGGTGATTTTAGATCGTGTCTGGTTGAAGTGTGAGAAATTTAGTTGGTTGATATAGTTCTGTATGAAAATATACTAGTTTATAGCGCCTGTCACGCGGGTCCTGAGTGGGGGTCATTTAGAACTGGGTGTTGAATTCATTTGTTGAATATACTGGTAAAGACCAGTTTATTTTGAGACGGCATTGCTTAAGGGAGTCACCACACTTAGGCTCAGTTTACACTGCCGCGGAACGGAATGGAAGCGTCAGTTTCGCCTCGCTGTGCGAGAAGGTGCGCGCGGTCGCTGAAATGCTGGAGCATTCGCGAACTTTCTCGCGACTGCGCCTTGAGCTTGTAATTTCATCGACATTTGACGTAACACTTCCCGCGGCTACGCCGGGTGTCGCCAAGGCAACTGCGGAAATTCCGGCGAGTGCGCGAACATTCGTTTTTTGACTCGTATCTAGTTTGTATGTTACACAATTGACATATGATCATTTTGCTATGTACAATTACGTTACAAAAATTCTCTTCCATTCCGTTCCGCCGCAATGTGAATTGAGCCATATTAATACAGAATCAATCAGAGCGAAAAAGACGTTCCACGCTTCGCCACAGCTTCGACAGCCGACGCGAAACGCTCGTTAACCTGTTGCGCTCGACTGCTACATACAGCCTTTTCTTAATGGCTTAATGACTCTTTAGAAAACTAACTGTAATTCCGACTAAGCAAAGATGGCAAGTTAAGCAAGTTTTTCGTATTTACAAAGGGTTAACTTTGCCTAACTTTAAGCAAGAGATTAAATTAAACTTTCCTTCTTTAAATTGTTACAACTCCATCGATACAATCGATGATTTCGCCAATGTCAAGTTAAGGATGACACGCGTACAAAACTTAAAATTGAAGATTACTTCGTAATTTCTTGGTTAAATATAGGCAAAGTTCATTTTGTAAATTCGAAAAACTTGTTTAGCTCACCATTTTTCTTTAGTCGAAGCTTAAAGTTCGTTTTATAAATCACAGCCTTAGTGACCCCCTAAAGCAGTGGGCATTCTTAATTAAGCGGTCACCTATTGAAATAACACATAATAAGTAAAGCAAAAACTTTAAACTTTTTTTGTAAACAAAATATGAGGGTATTTCTGTAGTTACATAGTACATTTGATTATTGTTTGTACAATTAATGATTGTTTTTCTTCGTTATTGGAGAGTTTGTTTGAATTGTCAATTGTTCTTTGTTCACTGTGCAACAAATTTGTAACAAATGTCTATACAGTGTTATTTGTAAAACACTGACAACCTCGCATTTATTATATTTATAGCATCTTAAACAACACTTATTCCATGACTACAAAATAAATTTACCAAAAATAAGCGTTTCAGATTTAGTTGTATCCTCTGACGCTTTTTAGAACTGTATTTAGTAGAAAGGTAGTTAGTTCAACCATGCATGCGTCCTCTCCGACGATCCCCACCTCCACTCCTGCGTTTTGCACTGGACTAGTACTTACGCTAGCATTTTGTTACCGCATAGAGTTACTACCATTTAGAGAGATCTTTTTATTTTTGTACGAAAGTAAAATCCGACTACTTGGCGACTTGTTCGTCCCGTCACTTGCTATAGTAAAAAAAAACAAAAGTTGTTGTTTATAATGTTAGTAATAGTCCTCCGAGATTGTTAAGCGCAGGCCACACTGCTAACGGAGCTGGCTAACTTAGCTTAGCCCGTGGGCTAAGTTAGCAACAACGTGTTGTTGCATGCAAAACTAAGATAAGAAAATACGTAGTAAGTAGTGACTATATACAGGGTGTTGATCTGCATTCTCGCCATATTTAAGAAATTAATAATAGAAAGAATGCTAAATCATCTAAAAATATTCTGTTCAATATTCTGGTTAATTGTGTCTAGTAAAGTTTTGTAAAATTGTCCCGCAAGTGTACTCACCGCAGAGGACAGTGACCCCGCCACTCGCTTCACCGAGCGATACGAAATTTTTCTCGATTGCTTATTTACCTGTTATTTAAATCATGTTTATGTACTAGTATTGTTATAATTTACTAATTATTTACATGAGTTAGAAAAGTTGTCTGAAAAAGGATTTTATTGTAACTCAGATTTGGTACTTACCAACTTTAGGATACATGAAAGTAGTGCTATGCAGAGTTTCGTTTCAACTTAACACATTCTTCACAATAGAAAAAGCAGAAAGAAACCAAAGACGATTTTTGCGCGCAGTCCTTCGACACTCGTAATCTGCGTATACTAAACGTTTCACATCATAGCATAAGAATGCACTTTATGGCAATGCACATGGTAGCGGTTTTTATTGCACTAACTCTTGTTTACATCACACACAAACCACGTTGCATTTCGTGAGAAACTAGAACGTATGCGCGATGTCAGCGGAACTTTGATGCAATACGCAAGGTCAACTGATGATCTACCAATCTAATCAAACGTCTCTACTCGTTCCCTGCCACCAAATAGATCTAAAATGCATATTTTCTGCGTATAGGTCATTGTTCAAATGGTTGCTGGTACCTGTAGCACGTGTAGTGCAAGTCAATGACCCTTGGATCAAACTTGGTTACCGCAATTAAATAAAAAACAAGAATTTAGGATTTTTTTTTAAATCAATTTTTTTAGTGAATTGGGTTCAGTTTCGGATATAGAATGACCTATGTAAATATGGCGAGAATGCATACCAACACATTGTATACGTGCGGAGGTGAAGGGCGACATATTTTACATAGATAGCGGGATCGTTGGGTTAGTTTTGTTAGCTCGGTTAACTAGTTCGCGTTGTGAACCGAAGTATGAAAAGATGAAAGATTTCCCGGCGTGAGAAAAGCTAAGTTAGCTTCGCTTCGTTCGTGGTGTGGCCTGCGCATTAGGGTTTAACAAGTTGAGTGCGTGCGTTATAGATTTTTCTCTATTAATATACTTAGGGCTACTCACTTGTTATCAAGCAGCAGCACAACGCCTGTACTAAACGAGTTTGTCAGCTCGTTCGATTCTGAAACATGCTGACAACATAAGAGACACGCTTAGTTCGGCCGCGATGTCGATGAGTGCAAGCGAGGTCATCATCACATGTAATGGTAGCACTTGTTTTATTTTCCAAACTATACTCCTACCTTAAACTATAAAAAATACTCATCTCCGTTATAGAGGTGAATATAGAGTTAATAATGTACATAGATAGGGATATAGTGTAATATTATAATGAAAAAGGAAACAATGCAAGAAACACATAATACTTTATTATATCAAAATAGTCTTATTTTATATATACAATATTATTAATTGGAAATTTTTGAAAAAATAAAAGATTTTTTTCTAAATTTTTTTTCTGATTTACCTTTGATGTTTCGACTAGTTTGAACAAGAAAACTACACAATAGGTACAATTTGTACAACAACATTTTGATAAATACATATTAATGTATTTCCACAAATGGATGACATCCAAAATTGTGCATGAGCAAGTAGTACTACTAAAATTTTTCGTCTGTCGGGACCTTAGAGAATGGAAAAAATTCCATAGTCTAAGGTCATCTAAAATGACTAAATGTACGGCTAACGTGTCCACGTTAGCCGTACATTTAGTCATATTTTTCTGACATGCGATTTTTTTTCGCGGGCAATCGTTACTATAAGACAATTGTATATTATTTTCACACAAAATCAGTTCAAGAGAAAGGACGCCATTTTGGAAACTCTGTTTAAGAGCAATTTCGTGAAAATTCTAAACAATATTTACAGCTTATTACCAACAATGGTGTTAAACGAGCCTTAATGGAAAACCAACAGCTTCAAAACACTAATAAAAATATACAGCCAAATATCTATAACTCATATTTACAAACAGTAAACAGTACAATTATTTCTAAAACATCTCTCGGCATACTTCGTGTTTCAACAATTGCCTCTATGAATTAATTGCACTTGGACAGCTGGAAGCACTCGATCGACTCGGTAGGTAGCTAACTACTGTTTACTTTGGTTATTTTTGTTAATTTAATATTAATAATTTTATTATGAAAAGGAGAATAGTTTTACAGGTTTATATAGTTCACATGTAATAACATAAAAAAAATTACGTAGTTCTGAATTAAAATGATTTATTTTTTTATATATGTTAAATCTAATAATTGGCATGGAATCTGCATCAATTAAATCGTATGATACATTGACTTACAATTATATGGACGTCGGGTCCGCGCTAAAAAGTGTCCGAACTTATAGGGCGTTAAAATCGTATACAGAGCGTCATTCACGCTTTAATCTTCGTTTGTTCGACTGACAGCGAAGCAAGCAAAATTAGACAGTACTGCGATGACATTACAATTTAAATTCAACGTTTTAGCTTTTTCATATTCCTTGACATGTCACTACGTTTAAATAGGTTGACTTGGGACATTTTTTTCGTGGTTTTTGTATTAGACCCGTCGTCCATTTATTTGTAAGTCAATGGTATGATATTATATTTTTCTCGCCCATCAGGTAATTATGTTTTCTTTGCACATCAATTTCTATAGCAGACAACTTGTTCGTCCCATCACTTAACATGATTTTAAAGCTAACAGCTATTTTATGCATTATGCGGTTCGCCTGTAGAATCAATTTAGATATATAGAGCTTCCTACATTGGTTCCACCGGAAATACATCCCGCTATCTTATCTACCGCACAGAACCGCTAGGCCGCAGAGGTTGTCAATATTATCGTCGTCGGTTGTAAATATATTGATGCGATCAACCTTATAAGCGAAAAATAGCTGCAGCTTAATTTTGATTGCCTCTCCCGATCGGAAACTGCGTCTCTTCCGAGTCGAGGCGCATAATTGCGATTCACAACTGGCCGATCGGAGTTTTGACATTTCTAATCGGAACAATAGTTGATTTAACTCACAAATTAGAAAGATATAGTAGGAATCAGGTTCATCTTCTCGCTCGGAAGCCCATCTGGTTTCGAGACTACCCGATCGGCTCGATTCATCAAAATCAGCATCCTGGAGGCATTTAAATTCCGTCTTCCTGTCTGTGTTGCCTTTTTACCTACTTAGATATTTTTCTTATACATCTGTCTAACTTTTGACTGTTGCCATTTTATAACACCGTTTCTACTTCGCAAATTCGCAACGGTAATGAATTCAAAGTTTGCGCGTACATCGTTTCTTCAGTTGGATGTTTTTTTTTATAATATCAAGTGACGGGACGAACAAGTCGTGCGCCTGATGGTAAGCTACACGCCTGTCCATAACAGTTGCAGTGCCACTTAGAGCTTTAAGTCGCAAAGATCTGAGGGGCACTGCCACTGTGCCCGTCACCCTGAGACATAAGTTGACAAGTCTCATGTGCTTGTAATTTCACCAGCACCCTTACCCTTCTACCGGAACGCAGTAATGCTAACATTACTGCTTGGCGGCATAAATACGTAGGGTGGCAGTACTTCCCTGGACGAACTCTTTCACAAGGATATTTATTTATTTGCGCGCAATGTACGCGCTGAACACACCGCTGTTCCGGAGTTGCGGCCTAACTCGTTCAAGGACGGTAACGGCGTTTACTATGAATGGAATTTTAAATATGATAGAACGGGATACCCCGGTTCGCTATACGGATCTCAACAACTACTACTGACAAAATTGAATGGTTTAGACATATTGAATCAATATAAATACTACCCATAGATTTAGTATATAGGTACGCACTACCAAATATAGCGTATGATCTATGAGCTTCTTTCTTGGCTTTTGCCGGTTAGCATTTAAGCCATTTGCCAGTGCAGTGTTTTGACTTGTAAGTCCTGTCCATAAAAGGGTTAAATAGACTATGGAATTTTTTTCATCTAAGGGTTAACTGTGTAAATTTTGAGTGTTGCCATGTACAATCACAGATCAAATTCCAAGTAATAAACGCTTGTCTTTCTTAACTAATGTTGGCAGAATCATAGATTTAGTATATAGGTGCAGAATCATCGATTGTATCGATCGCACTATAACACTATATTTTTGGTATCGCATTGAACTTCTTTTTTTTATTCCATCCTCTAAGCATTAAACAGATTTAAGGTAAGCATCCACAACAAACTATTTGGTAGTAATGATGCAGCTTAGTGGCGTAATAGCACAGTCGCGAGTTCACATAATTAGATATATTTTTTTTAGTTTTACGTACAAATTTGTTTAAACACCTATGGTTTATTCTAATTATTAATAACGAAGATCGAACACTTAGGAAAAATTCCATCGACCCGGCCGGATTCGAACCGACGCCTTCTAGCAAACCGTGACAGACGCTATGCCAACTAAGCTACGAAATGAACCAGCGGACCTTAAGCCGGGTTCACGAGTCTCACTCGCGTTTTACGCAAAGATCTGACGCGTACGCGCAAGTAGGACTGTTCACGAGTCGCTCGCTTGCGCCGGCCGCTTGCTTTGCGTTACGTGAGTTTGATATCAGCCAGCTTGATATTTCCACGCAAGCAACAAGGATCGTTTGCGTAGGACAGCACCACTGGCCAATCACAGAGCAGCAGCCGGTTCGAGAGTGTCAACAACCCAAACAACGGCAACGCGCCGCGCTTGCTCGCTAGTCTCTCCGCAACGCAAAGCGGAAGACTCCTGAACGCTTTTGCACAGAAAACAAATCAAGCGAAAAACGCAAGTGAAAACTTGTGAACTCGTCATTACCAATTTTTCTATGAGCTTGTTGCAGATCTTCATTTTTGGTTTTTAACGATTTATGCTGCAGCGCCATCTGTGAGAAACTTATTTATTCGCTCAGAGAGGTAGCTTTACAGCTATCATCGCTTATTACCTTTACATACAATTTTTCCTCTGCTCCCTCTTAACCGTGATTGTCAAACCGGCTAGGTGGATGAGCCGTTTTACCCAAAACAAACATGTTAATAACTGTACACTATTAAGTTTATTTATTTTCAATTCTATTTCCATACATTAATAACACCATCTGCACTAGAGCTGACCAAATAACACTTGTTAGCTTCGACCATGGTGATGTCAGTGATAGGCGCTGTATGGCAGAAAGATCGCGATTCAACCGAGCGGTACACGTTGTCGTCCAGTATTGAGACGGGCTCAACCGGGTTTAGCTTGCAGCACTCTTGGATAACTGTTGTACCGTCGATTATTCGGCTCCTGAAACGTTCACATTCTATAAACCCTTAGTTCACACTTGTACGGTTTAATCGATTCAAATTTCTTATTGGGTTTGCCAAATAGGTATAAAAAAAGTTCATGCATTCACATTCATAATATAATGTTTTGCGAGTCAGTTTTCCAATATAATGCAACGTTCATAATGCTTATAATTACCATTATAATAGACCATTTGCTTATAATTTCAAATTAACTTTTGCTTATAATTTCAAATTACTTTTTGCTTATAATTTCAAATTACCTTTTTTATGAATTCACATTACTTTTTGCTTAAAATTTCAAATTACGTTTTGCTTATATATTCATTTTACTTTAGCTTATAACTTCACATTACCTTTCACTTACAATTTCTAATTACCTTTTGCTTATAATATAAAATTACCTTTTACCTGCTGAATAAATGAATTGAATGAATAACCTTGTTTCTATTAATTATTTTAAATTACCTGTATCGGACGGCGTTGGGGCAATACTTGAGCTGGTCGTGAGGCGCATGCACGAGGATGTACGAGTCCTCGGGGTGCGCGAGGTCCCAATACCGCAGACGCTGGTCCGACCCGCCGGTCACCAGAAAGCGGGACCCGTCGCGGGAACCGCAGTAAGCAGCGCCGATGTAGTGAGACGCCTTGACATGCGCAATGATGATCGTATTAAGGTGGTTCTTTACCGGCGAGGCGAGACGACAATTGAAATCTCGTCGGCCTATTTCCTCTAAAAAGTAAACTATTGTTATTAATTGTGTTAACGGAAGAAATAATTACGGAAGGAATCAGATGAAACCATCTTTTTTAAAATCTGAAATTGTACGTGCCCCACAATCTCGCGTTTTATACTAAAGGCCATCTCGAGCTCACGCGAGACCGTGCGAGCACTCGCGAGAATACGCTAGCTCGCGCGAGAAATCGTATTTCCGTTGCAGAGTATAATACTCTATGTAGGCAGCAATACAGTTCAATAATACAACAACAAATATTCCAATTCTCGCCTCGTTTCGTCTCGCCTCGCCGGTGGAAAACCACCTTTATAGTCAGTATATCGCAACGTACCGGGGATCTATCTTTTAATAATGCGCCAGACATTCACACCAAATGCATGGTCTCTAACTAGGGAATTCCCTGTATTATGAGTACCAGATCATCGTAATTCTCTTCAGAGAACCATCCTGAACAACCAGACCTGAACCAATTTGGATAAGTCAATTTCCAAATTGGTCTTACTGAGAATCGAACCCGGAATCTCCTTACATCAAACTTCATAAATTATAGTAACACATTTGTTATTGGTTAGTGTCAGTTACTGGATGTTCATTATAGGTGAATGTCGATTACTGGTTAGTTAATTAGTGGGTTTGTGGTGTTCATTACTAGAGATTTAGAGATTATTTTTAATTTAGGATATTTTTTAGTATCATAATACTTTTTTTTATGAAAAATACTACAGCATAATCTTTCTCGAGGATTATATCTGTCAAGTAAACTAATCACTGTTGATATATGTTTAAAAACAAAAACGTAATTTCACATTTAAAGACACACTTCCAATGTAATGTCGATCATTGGTGCCATCACCCGACTACAACTACGGTATACTTACAGCGACGGTATAATGTAGCGGCTGCGGGCTGTTAGTGCAGGGCCACAGCGCGTGGGTCCTTTGCGTGGACTCAAGGCACCACGCGCCGGCGTCGCGGCAGCCCACTGCCCACACGCGAGACGACGAACGTCCGAAGCCTACTATGCGGCGTACGCGCTCCGCTGGACATATACGAATGTTATTTACTTAAAGGTAGTATATCACTGTCGTTTTCATATGAAAAAAACTTAGCTTTAAAGCCTGTGGTTCAGTTACTAGTACTGTTTTACTGTTGTTCAAATTCAAATTTTTCCCATACTGAATTGGTTCTATTAGACTGCCACGCAGAGGTCCCGGGTTCGATTCCCGGGCCGGAAGAAATATTTGTATGGCTTACATTTATTTCTCTCGTGAGTTTGGAGGTGATTTGTGTGTGTCCATGGCACCCGCGACACAGGGTTTCCCCAGTGTAGGGCTATGAGCGTGTGCCTTATTATTGTTATTGCGCGAGTATTTCAGAATTTATTTTTTTTACAAAAGAAATTAAAGCCATTGGAAAAATGTACATCGTATAGTATACGTGTTGTGTATGTATAGCACCTATTGAATACGGCTGTTTTCTTGAAAAATTTCGAGGCAAGTTTGTGTTTTTTCTATCGTGAAAATTTTTAGGAATCGTGTTGTCACCAGTGTACTAATCAGTGTACATCATTGACTTACAATTATATGGACGTCGGGTCCGCGCTAAAAAGTGTCCGCACTTGTAAGGCGCTAAAATCGTATACAGAGCGCGACACTCCGCTTTAGTCTTCATTTGTTCTACGGACAGCGCGATACTGCGATGACATAACAATTTAAATTTCGAATAGGTTGACTTGGGACATTTATTTCGTGGTTTTTGTATTAGACCCGTCGTCCATTTATTTGTAAGTCAATGGCTACAACCACGACTTTATAGTGACAGTTGTCTTATATTAATATTATAAATATTTAACAATTTTGTCTGGCAAATTGCACAGCGCCCTAGCTGTTACAAAAAGAAGTAACATTTTGAACCAACTTCGAAAGAGGTTCTCAATTCAAAAAGCAACATGTCAAACATTGACTTACAATTATATGGACGTCGCCGTCGGGTCCGCGCTAAAAAGTGTCCGCACTTGTAAGGCGCTAAAATCGTATACAGAGCGCCAAACTCCGCTTTAGTCTTCATTTGTTCTACGGACAGCGCGATACTGCGATGACATAACAATTTAAATTTCGAATAGGTTGACTTGGGACATTTTTTCGTGGTTTTTGTATTAGACCCGTCGTCCATTTATTTGTAAGTCAATGGTGTATATACTCAATTTTACTATACGTATAGTTTTTCCAAAGCGATTGATAAAACATTTTCACTGTTATGCGGAACCAACCAAAGACAGCTTGTGTCGACTTATCGATGGTTAGCAAATTGCTGCAACCAGGAGATTCTGCCTGCTGAACTGCCTCCGTGGCCGAACGGTTACCATACCGGACTGCCACGCAGAGGTCCCCGGGTTCGATTCCCGGGCCGGGAGAAATATTTGTATGGCCTACATTTATTTCTCTCGTGAGTTTGGGTGTAATTTGTGGTTGTCTATGTGTGTGTCCATGGCACCCGCGACACAGGGTTTCCCTAGTGCGGGGCTATGTTGAGTGTGTGCGTTATTATTATGCGTTATTATTCTGAAAACGACGTTTTTTATGATATCAAGTGACGGGACGAACTAGTCGTGCGCCTGATAGTAAGCTACACCTGTCCATAACAGTTGTAGTGCCACTCAGACCTTTCAATCGCAAAGATCTGATGGGCACTGCCATTGCGCCTGTGACCCTAAGTTGACAAGTCCCATGTGCCTGTAATTTCATAGGAACATAGTAATGCTAACATTACTGCTTGGCGGCAGAAATAGTTAAGGTGGCAGTACTTCCCTGGACGAACACTTTCACAAGGTGCTCTACAGCTACTGGAAGTTTTTGTGCCTTCTTTTGTTTATGTACACTGGACTTACAATTGGGATGTCTGACTGATGTGATAGGCAGCTGGAACCGCAGGTCCCATACAGCGACGGCGCCGCTGCTGGTGCCCACCGCCAGGTACCCAGCGCTGTTCGCGTACAGACACGTGTACACGCCTTGTTTAAGGTCGCCTTGTAGTTTCCAAGCATTACCTGAAAAGGTTAAAAATCGCTTTAATAAAATTTACAGGTATATCGTAAGACGAGGACACTAGCATAGTAGAATATAATAATAATAACGTACACACTCAACATAAAAGCCCTGTGTCGCGGGTGCCATGGACACACACATAGGCAACCACATATGTCATCCATACTCCGAGAGAAATAAATGTAGGTCATACAAATATTTCTCCCGGCCCGGGAATCGAACCAGGGACCTCTGCGCGGTAGTCCAGCATGGTAACCGTTCGACCACGGAGGCAGTTGTATAATAACAAGTATGGTAACTCCATATTAAAGGACTATCCACACACATCAGGGCCATGCCCGGGAAGTGGACGGACCGTGCTCCGTCAGGGGCCCAAAAAAATATTGCTGCGTATATTTTGTATGAGCTTATTCACACATCGTCGGTGTTTTGTACAAAGGGCGAAGCTATCAGGGGAATACGTTTTAGATTTCAATGACTGTTTTAAAATAATTACGTCCTGTTTCAACACGCAATTTTGATTTTAAATAAGTTTAAATTTTAAAATTGAATTTTAAACAGAACGTAAATATTTTAAAACAGTTGTCGTGAAAAAATAAAACAAACTCCCCTGAAAAATTTACCAAAAATGGTCGTGTCTAGCTGTTCCCACTAGATCGTGACGACAATTTATTGATTCACGGCAGCCGCCTTGTCGTTTTCACGACAGAATCATTTGAAGATGTGATTACCTGTGGTCACATTTTTGTCGTGACGTTTTATTTATCGTCAGACGACTGTCGCTCTTCCCATTGACACGACAGTCTGTCGTCGTAATGTCAAAAAAGTATTAAACGACAGTTAATCGTGTTGTTCTATGTTTGAATAACTTCATTTAAATATACAAGACACGACACTTTAAACTGTACAACTATCTGTCGCACAGTATATGAGAACGCGCCGTTACTTGCATTTATAATGTTAGTTTGGTGTAGGTATAGTACTCACCGGGGGCTCTAAGATCCCATCCTACAATAGTGGACATAAGCGTGGCATAAGATATGACACCGGCATGAACTCCCCCCGCGCAGGCAACTGCCGCGCAGCCCCCTTCCGCGCCCTCCGCGCCCGTCTCGAGTTGTCGGCCTTGGGATAGCGTCATGCGAGATGAACTGTTGTCCAGCCTGAGAGCAACAAAAACCAGTCTTTTACTTAGATTCGTTAGAAGATGACCTTTCTGATGAACTCCCTGTCTCTCGGGTCAGTAGATGGCGACAAAAATCAAGCTACACACTTTTGTTCGAATATCGCCTATAGACCACCGGAACAAGATACGTCATTATATAGCCGCGCTGCAGTCTGCCCATAAAGTTAAAATTACCTGAGCACAAATATTGACTCGTGTGTAGCAGCGACTAACGACTGTCCGCCTTCGCATGCTGCCATCGATATGACGGGGCCGGCATTCCTGTTGTACATCGATTTTGATCTGTAAACAAAATAATTACATTTTTTTATAAAAAAAAACGACCTCAAAAGTTAGAGGAATTACATCGATTTTGATTGATTCGACATATAACGTACCCTTAGGAAATGGAACTATTTTTCCGGATTTAAATCGCGTATATTTGTTTTTTATATTACGTTGTTTATATACGTAAATCCGGAAAAATAGTTTCATTTCCTATGTGTAACAATCGCGAAAATCTAAGAACTCGATATAATGCTTCCTTCTTGTCTTTAAATAAACAGAAACCCGAAAATTTAATTTTTGGACTTGTTCTGTTTACAAAATACGTTTTTTTTGTTTTTTCCGAATTTTGTCTTCTGTTTCTTAAATTATTTTTCACAAAATTCGGGGAGCATAATATTAGTAAACAAATATGGCTGTTTATAAAAATAACAGAAAGTGATCAAAAAAGTAAGTAGGCCCTGTGTTCAAGGCAGGTATCGAAATGATATTGATAACCGAGAAAGAAAAAATGTTACATGGTGTATTTTGCGTCCAGCAATATAAAAATTAAGTACAGTCAACAACACATCAAGCTATACACTTTTGTTCAATGTCGTCTCCAGTACAACGGAACTAGATTCGTCAATGCGTACCTTGAGTTGCTGCCGTGTGTCGTACAAAAAACTACCAGTTATTGATCTGACATACAGTCATGCATTCAAGCAAAAAATTAAATTTTACTTTGAAAATCACGCTTTTTATGAAATCATCGAATTTACAGATTCAAACATAAAGAGAATATTAATTTTCTTAAGGTTTTATTTGGCGCATTATAGTCAAGTTAGTCTGCATGCAATCATACTATTTACGTGCTAGTGTGATGATGAAAAGATAATTTCGTTGTTTTTGATAGTTTATTCTAAATTTATTTATAAAATGAAAAATGTTGCTACTTGTTGTTGTTAGGGAATGTGTGTGTGTTGAAGGGTGACAACAGCAAAAGTTTAGTAGTATCAAATACAACGAAAAAATCTTTAGGAGACATTTTCGCGAAACTATAATCTAGTGGGTTGACACGTTATTGTTTGTCAGCATCCAAATAGTCCTGCGAAGTTGTTAGTGTGCTACAAATAGCCCTATAGAGGGAACCGAAACGATAAATAATGGTGCAGTCATTCGTTGTCCGATCGAATCTCACCTGTTGACGTAAGCGTGTCCTTGGAGCCTTAGGGCGTCCCACAGTCGTACGGAGCCGTCGTCGGAGCACGATCCGAACAGGTTACGGTGAGCGGGTAAAGTCACCATTTGATTCACTCGAGCCCTGTTGAAAAGGCACATTTATTAGGAGACACACACGTGTGGTGGCCTATGGCTAACGTAATCATGATTTTTTTCCTGTACGCCTGTAAATTTATTATTGTCTTAAAAATAAAACCACGGAATAAAAACAATGGAAGTGCCTTAAAACTCGATTTCTATCAGAACCGATGTCGCCAAAACTCACACAATCTTAATTTGAAACACTACAAAATCTTGGTATTAATTGGTCGTAGTTTCAAATTTAAAAAGAAATAACAAATTCTGGATTGTTGATATAATTTAAACTTTACCCTGTTGGCATATCGTTGGAAGTTAAATTCCGTCAATACCTATTATTACAAGTTACGATGTTTTGATATTACATTGAAATTTCAATCGATGTGCTACCATCTAGCGGTTCATTGTTGAACGACGACAAATTGGAGTTATTAGTTTAGCTCTCCAAACAAGAAGCGACCATAATGACCTTTGCATAAGCTTTACTTTAGTTTTTTGTGACAAAAAATTATCTCGATAAACAGATAATTGAAAATTTACTAAAATAAGACTTTCCGATGATATGAAATACCACCACGGGTAATATTTTTGGTGCGGCTATCACTTTTGCACTCCAAAACAGCATAATATAGTAATTATTCTAGCATTTTAAAGAATTTGCACGAAAGAATGACACAACCATACCATACAGAGCTAAAATGGTGGACTGAGCACAGATAGGTCTTTCGAGATCCATAGTATGCGTCTGACGCTAACTAACCACTTTTATTGTTCTGTGAATAAAACACACGTCCATGATAGTTATATGGGTAAAAAATTAGAAAAAAGAATTAAAAATCTTTAGTGATCAAAAATTTAAAAAAATAACTAACTGACTGGCTTTTATATTTTTCGCTTTCGCGTCATTTTTTAAATTTCTTGGTATGTGTGTCCGCATTTTCGGGACAGCGGGACATGAATTTAGAAAACGGGATTGTTCCGCTCAAAGCGGACCTTCTTAGAGGAGACCGGTGCCCTGTAGTGGAACGTATGGTTGGTTGTTGATGACGTTCGTTTGCCTAATTAGCTATTTTGTTTGGTTTTAAAGAGACTGGCCTTGTGCAAATCCTCAATATTATTAGCGTAAATAGTTATTTCCAAATTCAGAAGTAATTCATTTATACACTAGCAACACCAGGGTTCAAATGTCAAATTTGACGTAAGTTATCATTCAAATTCCAATAACTAATTGAAACTATATATATATTTCTTATTTAAATCAATACAAAATTAATTTAAAAAAAAACATTACACTCTAAAATCTAAACAGATTTGTATGAGTGTTGCAACTCCTCTAATATAATATGTAAAATAATATTTTTTTTAATGTAAACAAAGTTCGAAAAACATATATAATGAAAACACAACTAATGTTAACACAAAGTTACACTAGCCACCGACTTGCCTCGCCCCAGCGCTATACGCTCGCATACAGGCTGTTCGAAAACAACATAATGTAACACTACTAAACATACATTACCTTATAAGTAGAAAAAAAGTGTTTGTGATAAATGGTTATTTCTAAAGTTATTGGTAGTAAAATAATTTATTCACTGGCAACACGAGGATTCAAATGAAGATAATGCAGTTTATTTCATTTCTGTATTTAAAGTGATAGTAAACAGTATAACCTTCGCCAATTACAAAATTAGACTTAGAACAGTACCATATTATTTGTTCATATTATACCTGAATATACATGTACTATTTTATAACATTCGATACACCCGAAATACTTTTAGTGCACTGATTACCAACACCAATTTAGACGAAGTTCTTTCTACGATCTCGAGCTGGCAATCTAAAAGTCTTTCTAAAAGCGAACCATATACTCACTTGTGTTCATGTAAGTACGCTAAGAGCTGATTCCCTGGTCGCCATCCAGGCGGGGGTAGCACGTCTTCATTGGTGTCTGATGAATCGTCGTGGCTTCTACAAAAACACAAAAACCTCAAATTTGTTTGACTTTGCTCCTTAAGTTGTTCTTCCATTAACCCAGCATGGTATGTCCAATTAACGAGTATATAACCAAAAATAGAGACGAAATATCATTTAATTTGTTTGAATACTATTCTGCCTTATCATTACTGCGCTCCCATTGGCCAACCCGAAATCTAATTCTAACCTGTCAAACTATATAAATATATATATAGTTTGACAGGTGTCGTCAATTGTTTCACTTTAAATCAACTAGTTTAACTTGAGCTTTGCTATAATGGATAAAAATTGAAGAAATACATATTTAATATTTAATTACCGATGAAATGTGATCCCGTTTGTTTTGTAATTACATGTTTTGCTGTTTTACCCACACCACCATCACCGAACGGAACAGCATCATAGTAATATAATAAAAAAATAAAATAAGATGTTATCTTTATTACAATAAATACAGAATATTTTTGGTACACAGGTCAGCTGTTGGCGCTGTACTATTTCAGCTTTCCGATTTGTGATTTCAGTGCAAATGAGAATTGATATTTAAAGGCCCATTCGCTTGATGAGTTGCCAGGGATGGATGGCCCTTATTTTGTCTCTATTTCTGGTTATATACTCGATGGCCCAATTATGGTATTGAATTTAGCTTGAATGAATCAGTCAGACAAATCACCACTTATTACAAGCTGGTTTATTGTACTGTGAATTTCCACATCGGCAATAACGGGTGTCCGAAAGTCATTCATCTTTATTGACGAATACATTTTGCTTTTGAGTAGTGGTCAATTTGCGTATTGGTCGTTTTGCATTGTCGTATAGTCGATAGATCAGACTCTCAAGTAGAGGGTGTTTCGGAATTTGTGTGCGAAATTTCATATGAAATTGACCATAAGTTTTTCGGTGAAGGAAACATCTGTACACATCTTCAAAACAATCCAATTCGCATTAGACTCATGTGGGAGCTACAAATAAAACCCTCTCATTGTGGGAGAAGCTGAACCCAGCACTGGAATTATGTATAGACTAACTATTATTATTATCAACGATTTTTTAGCCGTAGCGCCATCTATGAGAAATCTTAAGTATTTCGTCACCCAGTTAAATACCTTTACAGTTACCAGCCCTGGCTAGAAATATCGCTATTAATTGTATAAATTTTTTTTTATTGATATTCAATTCTTTTTTGTGTGAAACTACTCCACTAGTTTGTTATAATTATTAATACAAAGATCGAACACTCATAAAAAATTCCTTCGATCCGGCCGGATTCGAACCGACGTCGTCGAGAGAGAGAAATACTTAAGATTTCTCCTAGAAGGCGCTACGGCTAAAAAATCGTTGAAAAAACCAAATATTATTATCGTTTTGCATATTCGTAGTTTTGGCGTATTAGTCGTTTTGTATATTGGTAGTTTTCGTAGTCGAAAACGTGTAATAGTTATGTGTTAATTTAAAAAATATAAAACCTCAGTGATTTTCGGAATTTTTGTTGCATGCGCGATGTCAAATTCCTCAGTTCGACACGACACGGTGCCATGCTATCTGTAACAATAAAATTTGATTTTTTTTTTTTAAGTTTCTAAGTATTGAATGTCGATAACTATGACTATGTTTGACCACCATGATATTCAATTATTTTTGTGAAATTACTCCACTGTAGTTCATTTCACATAGCATGGATACGGTGACATTTGATATTTGAAGTTTCTTGAGATGTGGTGGTGTTAAATCGATTTAAACATCTTATCGAGATAATTTGCAAGGCAGAGAGAAACGATTTAGAGACAATAATCAACAAAATAAAAACCATTCAATTGTTATGTGATTAGGTTACTAAAAAACTATACAAGAAATAAAAAAATCAACAACAACCAAACATAAAGTCAACAATTGCCGATTCGGTTTATCGATTCTATGGTTTAAATCTCTATAGATAAATATTACGTTATGCGCATCAAGTAGTTGGGGTAATTTATTTTTATGTTTTTCATTTCATTTTCTATCAACTTAATATATATTGTAATGTTGCATTAAAATTACAATTGCAACAAATATTGTTTATTTTTGGTATATTATAACAAATTTACTATATCTTTTTGTAATCTGGTTAAGAGACGAGTTAAAAATAGTATGCATGCAATGTAAAAATTTGAAATGTCACAGTACCCATCCTATGTTTTCTATGTTTTGCACATACAAAACAAATGAAAGGACATCCTTTCAACCACGAAATGGACTATAATTTGTAATAATTATTAATCCAAAGATCGAACACTGAGAAAACTTCCCTCGATCCGACTGGATTCGAACCAACGTGTCAGCAAACCGTGCCAAACACTATGCCAACTAAGCCACCGAACGAACTAGCGGGCCTTACGAATTTTTTTAAATCTGCACCAAGCACAGAAAAATTCTGTACTTGGTGCAGAAGTCTGGCAAGGTTTGTAGCTAGACGTTGGTTCGAATCCTGTCGGATCGTGTGGATTTTTTCTTTGTATTAATAATTAATATATATAATTTGTTTATCAATTCTTCTTTGATCTTGGAAACCATGTACAGTACCTAGAACTTACACATTGTGTACTTACATTGCACATAACTGGCACTATGGCCCATTTGGGAGTGCGAGGGCTGTACTGAGGCAGCCTGAGAAACGGCTACGCTCGCTACACTTGACGCTACAGCAGATTGCGACACAGTGTCCGGCCCTGGACAAGCAAATGAAAGCTTTATAAGCACCACAACCATCTTTCTATGATCATTAACTTCCAGTCCATTAAACGTTTTCAAAATATACGCTGATAATAAAGAGACTAAAATATATAGTACTACTAGATACTATTTTGAATATTACTAATGAATTAATTTAATATATTGGCAGTGTACTATGCAATAAATAAATATAGTTAATATTGCATAATATTATTATGCAAAAAAATATTTATTGCGCTACTCAAGTAGCAAACACCCTCCCAGGATAACACATGTACTAAAAACATTATTAATACCTTGTTATCATGTGACTATGCAATAAACTATTATGATTTATGAAAAAGACTTTGCAACTTATTTTCTCCTCATTCTATCTCCTCTCCTCAAGCAATTTTTTTGTTTCATATATTTCAGGGGCAGAGATCATATTTTAAGGGTGTTTCTAACAACCAATATGAACACTTTTCACTGTCTCTGTAAATCAACTATTCCATACATTTCAAACAAGCACTTGCTGGTTACTCAACAAAGTAACCAAAGAACAAAAAGTGATAATTAAATAAATAAAAATAATAAATCTCTTTTCATATGAAATTGTCATATTTAGCAGAAAGTATGTTATATTTTAAATGTATTTTGTCAGTTTAAAAAAAAATTCTTTTCGAATTATAACATTTTATTATTGAGTCTTGCGCTTGAGTGGTAAGTGACTCACCTAAAACAGTTTGTAGTGCCATTCAGAGCTTTAAATCGCAAAGATCTGAGAGGCACTGCCACTGCCTACATTACTCCGCGAAGTCTGAGGAGATAATGGCGAAAATCAGTTTAAACGCCAAATACACCTCGAGTCTTGAGCGGTTGTAGTCCCGCCACAACTTGAATTTTAATTCGTTTGTGGTGAGAGTGCCCGAATTCTATCAACCTTCACGAAGGAGGAGTTTTGGCCGAAGGGTGTCGTATATCGGCGATTCCGTGGCAGGTTACCTAACACCATATTGTGCCACATGTCCCCGACAAGTGCACTTCGTGTAGATTACTTATTTAAGTTTTATATTATAGGTATGTTAGTGCTTAAGGTATATATTACATGAGTCATAGTTGCATGATTTAATAATATCGCACACTGAGAATGATAGTGACACAATTACGGCATAAGCTGAATGAAGTCCTTCGCGTACGCCACAACCACACATATGATAGTACAACATTTGTAGCGTTATATTTAAAAACTAAATATTTTTGCTTTTTGTTTGTTTTGTCTTATTTTATTATATTTTTTATTATTATTATATTTTAATATTTTCATTTTGTTAATTAATACGTCTTTTTATTTTATTTTGCTTGTGTAAGTGCTATCAATATTTTTTTTGTATCTATATGTTGTGGCGTTGCAATAAATGTCTATTCTATTCAAAATATTCGATTTTGAATAATGAGATATTTTATATTACAGTTCTGAAAATTGTCATCATTGCAATTTTTTACTTAACAAAGATTTTTTAATATGCGGTTTTCAGCAACAATAAAAGGAGACCTACATACTTTTAGAATTATTTTATAATAAACATTGACTTATGATAATAAAGGTATTTTTTGAGAAATTCTCAAAATATGTCACAATTCGTCTCAAGCAGTAGCTTAAATGTGACGTTTTGTGTAAATTTATTATACCCATGGAATAAATGATCTTTGACTTTGGTTGTAAACATATGACAATATTTCCAGGTGATAGACAACACTTCGAACTATTTATTTAAAACAGTATTAAATATATAATATTTAAATAAAAATGTTTTATAACACGTATCACAACTTGCCTACGATAAACAACCTAAAATCCAGCCTATAAAACATGATAGCTAATAACATGCGACCAAATTGAACAGTACAGCAGTAATACGACGATTGAAATTGGCTACTAAATATTGTAGTTGGTCGGTTGATCAAGGGACAGATGAAGTTTGTTTACCTTTAGTGAGGATATGAAACTCTTTTTCCGGATTTAAATCGCGTATATTTGTTTTTTCAAGTCTGCAGTCTGCGAGCATATCATGGAACCTACACATTCAATGAAGTTTGACAAACCCCAGGCCCTTGCCAAAGAAGTCCGTTATTTACCCAGGATGCTGCGAGAGGCCATTGAAATTAAAAAACATCCTAATTTCATTAGGGAGATGGTTTTTCCGTATCACTAGTTTGGGGTCCAGTATTTCCTCTGATGACAAATCCCAAACAAACATAATTGCAGTACTAATTAATATGTCTTAATTTATTCTAATTTCTATTATTAATTAATAATAAATTAAACTTAATACAAATTCATTCAATAAAATAATTTTGTAAAACGTAATGTAGCATAAATTGGAATGTTTTCTTTGTAAAATTAAAAATAAGGTATTTAATTAATAACTTTAGTAAGTATAGTGAAACAAATAGGGTGGTTTGCATTAATATTAGACATAACTGGTTTATGACTGTACCACCTCAGTCAACTGTGACCATGGGACCTGTAAAGGGCCCGAAACGTCGGTTTGTTTGAAAAAATAAATATACGCGATTTAAATCCGGAAAAATAGTTTCAAACAATCGCGAAAACCTAAGAACTCGATACATTTAGTTAATTAAAAGACTTTATATTAAAGTGTAGTTTATTTAATTCTTGTATTTGAATGTATCGTAAATACGAGTACTATAGAAAAATATTAATTGTTTGTAATAAATGTTTATTATCTTTAATATTTCGACTGACTAACTTGAATCCAAGGTCATGAAATATATTTTTAAAAATAATGAGGCCAAAAAAACCAAGTCTTACCTCTTGTGGAATGCTGTTCATGTGACTGTCCAAACATATGCTGCCACTCTGTATTCATGTGCGTCTCGTGGGATAGTGATGTCTTGTGAGTTCGTCTACGATAAAAATTGTAACATAAATATTTATAGCAAATAAAAAAGAGAGCTACACATGATGACATTTTTGCGAAAAAAATCATTCTGCTACGGAACAGACGTTTTAGATTGTTTTGATTGTTACAGACCTCCTCATCTCGCGCCCATAGAATTTTTTTTTTCACTCTAAATTGTGATTATTTTTTGTGTTAAGTTTTCCATAAAGAATTTTTCTGCAATTTTACGAAATTTTCTATGCAACCAATGTAAACTGCAATGGCGTTTGTTCTTTCAATGAATGCATGAATGAATAAAAAGTACTTCTTTATTTCACATTAAGAATGACAGTACAGAATAAGAATGCAAGTATATTATATAGATCTAATGCACATAGATATGGTGCTAATGACCTGTGTTGTTCGTTGGCGTGCGCGAGCGCATTGTCGCCTGCGCCGGTGTCAAGTTGTGTCGACTTCGAAATCCCGGTGTTTGACAGCACCAACCGGCCCGGCGCGTCGGTGATATGCTATAAAGTATATAAATAAGTCGTGATAATTACCATTAAATCGCATGTTACGTATAATTTTGAATATCTTCAAGATCAAGGCTCTGCATGCTGTAAATGTGTAGTCTGTCTTTTTTTGAAGAAAGATGTCGAAAAATGACAGTTCATTGCGTATTAGTGTTGCCCGCTTGCAAGCTGCTAGTGATTGCAGTCAATACATATTCTATCGACTAACGACTTAATTTTGATAAACGGTCATGGAATAAAATATAGCCGAACTTGTTTCATGATTCCCATGAAACAAGTTCGGCTATATTTCATCATCATCCTCGATCTATTATTCACCCAAATACTAGCTAGCGCTTTCTAGCTGGTCTACCACGCAGAACAAAAATTCATAATAATATTTGTATAATAATACTAATTTGCATAAAACAGTAAATATTTGAAGTCTCATTATAGCAACACCGGTAATTTTTGTTGTGTTCAACACCGGTGGCGATTTAACTCTCTTCCAAAAATTGTAACAATGTAACGTTTTAGATTTTTCTATTTAATAAAAAACAATATTTTAAAATTTCTTAACCTTTTATTGAACAACCTCTGCTTGGCAGACCAGGGTGGTAACCGTTCGACCACGGAGGCATTTAATAACTAACCTGTGTAGACGACCCCTGGATTATGATGAGATGCGCGCTCATTGCCAGTAGTTGATTTTCCACAAGCTCAGTCATACCTGGACAAAATATTTCACAATTACGACACCGGCAATTATATCCTGTATATGTTGTACTCCACTAGTTATTTTTTATTTATTTATTTTCATTCAAAAAGGCATACAAAGCAATTTCACGCCAAACTACGAAAGCAGTTTCTTGGCGAGGTTATACTCAAAGTTACAACACTATAGCATACCTAATACACTTATCGAAACTAGTGTAGAGTTTAATCAAATTTACATGCTTTGAAGAAGTCGATTTTCTTTTTTTTATGATACTTAGTGACGGGTCGAACAAGAAGTGCGCCACCAGGCGCGTAAGTAAGCGTCACGCCTGTTTGTTTTTGTTGCATTAACGCTCAAAGGGCACTGACACCACTGCACCCGTCGCCCTGAGCCTGAGACATAACTTGAAAAGTCTCACGTGTAATTTCCCAAGCATCCTTACCCTTCAAATCCGGAACGTAATGGGAGCATTACTGCTTGGCGGCAGAAATGAGTAAGGTGGCAGTCTGGCAATACTACCTTTGACGAACTCTTTCACAAGGCGCTCTACTGCTACGAAAATTTCTACTTCTCCTTAAAATGATTTACGTAAGAATTTTTGACTTTTCATTATCATCATTCGCTTATACGCACGTTCTACAGCCAAGCAGTATTGTGAGCATTATTGCGTTCTGGTTTTCAAGAGTAAGGGTAATGATGAAATTACAGGCACCTGGGATTTGTCAACTTAAGCCTCAGGGTGACGGGCACAGTGGCAGGGCCCCTCAGATCTTTGCGATTTAAAGCTCTGTGGCGCTGCAACTGTTATGGACAGGCGTGTCGCTTACCACCAGGCGCACGACTCATTCGTCCCGTCACTAGGTATTATTTAAAAAATCCACTGCTGGACATAAGCCTCCCCTTGAGCACGCCAACTCTCTCGATTCTGTGCCGCCCGCATCCGGCCGCTGCCAGCCACTTTTCTCAGGTGGTCGGACGACGATTTGTCTTATTAAGTTTATCGAACACAACGATGTTTTACTACCACGATATTCAATTATTTAATTATTTCTCCTTCGATACGGCTGGCCTCGAGTCCACTTGTGTTCACCGTGGTTCGAACCGGCGACCTTGCCATACTGTGGCTGACACTCTCCCACCTAAGCTACGGACCTAATCAACAGACCTTATGAATTTCTCTATGTGCTTATTGTAGATCTTCGTCTTTTATTTTAACGACTTTTTGCCATATCTGTGAGAAATCTATGAAAGATCTAATTCTTTGTGTCCCAAAAAAATCTAATTTTAAATCACGTCACTAACGTACGTACAAATCATATATATACACACAGGCACTTTTAAATGGCGGAGATGGTAATTGTCGCATAGACAAACCTCAGACATAAAGATATACTGGCACTACTTAGCTCAAAATTAAAAATCGATAGCACAGGACCATTTGTAATGGCAATTAAAATTTTCAATAGAATCCCCAAGTAAATTTCCTCCCAATCAAACACATTTGATTAAAAAAAAATTATAGCCTACACATTTTTTGAAGAATAATTCATATAATAGGTACCTATACAATTATTGTTTTTATTGCTAGTTTGTAAATTTTATTACTTTTATGTTCTTATTGTTTATTTTTAATTAATTTATTTATTATACTTTCAATTGCGGCGCCCTTACAGAGTCGTTTAAATTTTAAGATCTGTGTAACACAAGGAAGCAATAAATACTTTGATTTTGATATTGGAAACACCAGAGGAGCTGTCTGTGCGTTGCCAGCCTTAAAAATAAAATAAAAAACTTACCGTCTGAAGCCAGTCTTCGAAACAGATTCCTGAGTTGTTGTCCCATTTCACTGTATTGAGGCATCATGCCTTGTTTTACCTGTAATGGAAACTGCATTTGTAAATTCACATATAAGTACGGACTGCGTGTAAATCACAATAAAAAAAGAATTAAAAATTATTTTATTTCTCAATTTGTTCAACAATGGCAGATCAGGTTCTTCATGGGAAGCAAATGTATGCTTGTGTTGGGAAAGCCTTACGCAAGCACGAAGGAAGTCCCTTAAGGGTGCGTACAGATCTGGCGAATACGCCGCAAATATGCCTGTTTGCGAAAGGCTCGCGAACTGCACACGAGCATTACGTTGTGCGATCTGTTCGCGTGCCACTCGCGCACCACGTATATTAAACGTGAAACACAGTGAGAGCGGATACGGGTCGTACTCCGCGCTCGGTATATTGTCGTTCTAATAAATACAGGAATTAAACCCGCCGCGGTCCCGACCCGACCCGTATCCGCTCTCTCTGTGCTTCACGCTTTAACATGTATTTGATTGCACGCATGCAGCGCACGCGCAGCATGCGCGGCGCATTCGCCAGATTATACGTACCCTAAGCTTCAAAAATATCGCAACATTAACACCGTTTCGTTGTCGGGACGAGTAGCGTCTTACGAATAACGTCCTTATTGCCATAGATATATTTTCTAACCGCTTTTAGCCGAATTAGCGTCTACTAGTCAAGTGGAATGACCATTGAATGAATTTAAGGCAAAATTTTTCAATTAAATATTCGTATAAAATATTTGAATTTGCACCTAATCATTATAAGGAGATTGATCTTTACATTACAGAGTCATCACACTTATTAACATGGAATGCTGGCGCATGGGACAAGGCGTTTTCACTTTTGCTAGTTAATAAATATCCTAAATAGAATTAAAATTTGTTGCAGCACATTCACAAGCACAACCTTAACGCAACAAAAGCAAGAACCGTACTTTAAGTCTGGCGCTACGTCGTTCTCTAAGCGTCTGAACCAAACGGTCCACATCACCGTGTCTTAATACAGCATCCAGCACTTTCCTAGGTATCGGTTCTTCTAGACTTTCCAGTAGTAACTCTGCTCGTTCCACCTATAAGAAGAAAAAACATGACGATAAATAAGGTCCATTGTCTTCCAAAGCGAGAAAGCAGTTTGTTTCAATAACCAGGCTTTCCTATTTTGGCATATCTACACCCCTTATTGAAAATACCGAAATTAATTAAAAGAGGCCACGGTGTGGCAGCAGATGCTGACCAAAGAATTTTTTCTTTGTGTTGTTCGATCTTATATTATGTAATATATATTTTTTGTGAAAATTGTCCACTACGAAATCTGGTGAAAGTACAGGCACATGGACTTGTCAACTTATGTTTCAGGGTGATGGGCGCAGCGGCAGTGCCCATCAGATCTTTGCGTTTTAAAGCTCTGAGTGGTAATGCAACTGTTATGGACAGGCGTGTAGGTTACCATCAAGTGGACGACTTGTCTGTCCCGTCAGTTGATATTCTATGAAAAGTATTGCTTTATTGATTTCATTCAAAGCTACGTTTCATCGTCTCTCTTAGCTCTCAAAGCAGGCCTATTAAACTGTGACAACTATTGTAGAATGTACAAAATAATACTAAAAATAAATTTACTAAATTGAAAGTTTATCATGAAATTGTGGTTCATTGTGTACCTGTATGAGCTTGTGCTTCAGACGAGGCCACACGAGCGGTAACACCTTGCAGTTCACGTCGATGGGGTTCAGTAAACTCGCTATACAGGATATCAGCCCGCATACCTCATGACGGATCTGGCAGATTATAAAAATAATTATTTTGTAAAATTATACAAGGCCATTTGTAAAATACAAGTAACCCCGCAGGACTATAACCATAAATAACAACTTTAGTTTCACGACTTTCAATAACATCAGATTTTAGTTTTGTAGGAAAATAAAAATATTTAAACAGGTCGCTCTAAACGGTGATAACGGTGATAAATACATATGTAAAAAAGTGACAAATAGTATAACAAAAACTTGCACTATCGAAAAGAGGGCATTAAAGCGTGAAACACACAGAGAGCGAGTGCGGATCGGGCGAGTGTCGGGTCGGGACCGCAGAGGACTTAATTCCGTGTATTTATAGGACGACCACACACCGAGCACTGGCGCGTGCGTGCATTTAAATACACGGAATTAGACCCGCCGCGGTCCCGACCCGCACCCGCGCAGTTTTTCGCGCTTTAATTTACAACGTATGTATATTTTATGCAATATTAATTGAAATATGGTACATAATTAAAGGTCTGAAACCGACCTCGGACCATCGCGGCGCATTTCTCTCTGTATCTCCGAGCATTGAAATTTATACCATATTTCAATTATGATAGCATTATATGATATGATGATAGCAATTTAATAAATTTAATGTCTTAATATCTGCCTCGCCGTCCGCCGGTTTGCACTGGCCCTAACCAACGAACGTGTATGAAAACATTGATGCCTACTGATGAGGCGAAAGGTGTGTTCCAGGATTGTAGCAAGTTGTAGGCTGTTGTCTCTGGCTACACCGATAGAAAAAGGGCAAGAAGTGTATTATACATAGGCGACCTATATAAATAACAAAAAACAAACTGAATTAGTAGTTTTTCACAACATTGTTAACAAGTAACTGCCTCCGTGGCTGCTGCCATGCTGGTCTGCCATGCAGAGCTCCCGGGTTCAAATCTCGAGCCGGGAGAGATATTTGTATGGCCTACATTTATTTTGTCATAAGTTTGGGTATAGTTTGTAGTTGGTTTCCCCTAGTGAGGTGTTATGAGGGTGTGCGTTTAAAGAAAAAAGAAAAGTTAAAAAACCTACCCATAGATTCGGATGAGCAAGGTATACTGCGCTCTCCGAGACCAGATCGCAGAGAGATTGCTTTGGTAATAATCCCAGTTCAGCCAGGCTCGTTGTGGCTCGAAGGGCTTTCGCTATTATCCATTCTGATGGATCCGTGAGACCCTGAGAATGGTGAAGTATTTTTTTTTATATTGGCTTTATTGATGATGACTTTCGCATACGAAACGACATGCTGTCGTAACTCAAAATTGTGAATGAATGAAACCAATGTAATATTATATTCTCATTTATAATTGGATAGTTAAATATTATAGATATACCTGTAAATAAAAATAATCACATTATTCGCAATAAGATCCATTCAGCGTTTTTTTTCTTCAAATTGCGTTCAAAACAATTTCACAATTTTGAGTTACGACAGTGTTAGGTTTCACGTATGATATTCTCATGATGTATGATATTCATTTAGTATTTGTAAAATTACCCCACTAGTTTATTATAATTATTAATACAAATATTGAACACTAAGGAAATTCCCTTCAATCTGATAGTATTCGAACCCATGTTTGGTACACGGACGCAGGGCTTTCTGTCAAACTTTTGTCTATGTTGCGGTTTGTTTGTCAAAAGTATGACAGATGATTTGTAGAAATCGTAGTTTAAACGGCAACATAATTTCAAGTTTGACATATAAATATAGTCTGTCTTTTTTGAAGATGTAGTAAAACGACAGTTTATTGCGCAAAAGTGTTGCCCGCTTACGAGCAACTAATGATTGCAGTCGATAAATATTCTATCGACTATCGACTGAATGTTGTTTATGCAATAAATACCCGAACTTGTCTCATTTGAATTATCATCGGTCCCTTATTCGTCCAACGGCTGGACATAGGTTCACAGGAATTCGAGAAATGTTCTTGTTAAATATATATGAATAAAAATTACTTTCGATCTAGTTGGCCAACTGTCAAAATAAGAATAAATGAAGGCAATTAGTAATCAGTAGAACGTCGTATCATTCACAATTTTGATATTTTTGTCACAATCTTACCTTCTTTCACAATCTATCGATAAAACTGTCGACAACAAGTACATGACTATTTGAAATTTTATGAAAATTGGCAACCTTGCAAATGTCATTTTACTCCGACTCCAAAAGACAGACTATAGCAGGAGCAATGGTAGTAGTGGTACCAGATTGTCTTTCGATATATCGTCGGGGATAGTGCAAATCCGCGTACATAGTACTGGTAAAAGGCGCGTATCTACACTAAACCAAATTTCACAGGAAAGGGATTTAACGTTATTACTTTGCTATTTCAATGGCTACTACTTTCATTGTGCACAGTGAGCATTAATTTGTGTTGTTTACGGACTCATAACAATAGATTTCCGTAAATCACGCTAATTTGTTTGCCACTAAATTACCGGAATGGAAATTCGTAATCATGGATCGGAATAGGTAGTTTTTTTAAATAAACTTAGAGGAATATAGACCGAAAATAGAAACTGCCTTACTACAATAGTTTTTAGGTCTTGAACCTTTTCGGGACTCGGGAAATCATTGAAGAACATTAAAAATTGATGTAATTGGGGACAGGCGGGTACACTATATTATGGATCGTATGGTCCCATATAAAAAATTCACATTTTATTTTTTTCCTACTAAACTATTCGATTTAAGACTACCACCTCAGTCAACCGTGACCATGGGACCTGTAAAGGTCCCGAAACGTTGGTTTGTTTAAAAAAACAAATATACGCGATTTAAATCCGGAAAAATAATTTCATTTCCTATTCGATTTAAGGCAAAATGTGATATGATATTATTTAATTAGGACAATAGGATCTCTCGATTGGCATTTTTTAGAAAGGTATCGTGAAAAAATCCAATGTCCGCAATATCGCTGATCCGACCCACTGTGTCGCAAAGTTAAGATAAATATAGTGTACCTGCCTGTCCCCAATTACGTCAAATTTTAATGTACTTACGTGATTTCCCGAATCCCGAACTGGTCCAGGACCTAAAAAATATTGTCGTAAGGCAGTCTCCATTTTCTGTCTATGTCCCTCGAAGTTTATTTAAAAAAACTCTATCTAATCCGATCCCTGCTCGTAATACAATGCTAGTTACATGTAATTGCACTATACCCGAAGATATGCAGTTAACCTTACTTGTTGTAATAAAGATACGAGGCTATGAGCGGCGTGATGTCCTACGTACGCGGCGACGCCGACTATGCGTTCGAAAAAACACCCGCGTAACGCAGCTTCATCTTTGTCGTTGAGGAATGTCACCATGTGAGACAGGATTACGTCGTTTGCTACACAGAGAGAAACAAATAGCTTTTTGTGTTATAAAAAAAAAATGGAATATAGAGAATGAACTGTTAAATTAACCCAGAGATTCTCAAACCTTTTGGCTTACCGCCCACTTAGGTAAACTAAAGGGGGAATGTCACGGTTTTATGTAATCTAATATCCAATAGATGGCGTTGGTAAGGTGAATAGTTTATATAATATATAAAATAGTTTATTACGATATTCGCAAAATTGGCACCCAAAAGTTATACTTTTTGTATACGCGATTGGAGGAATGCATGATACATTTAAAATTCATATAACTTTTCATGTACAATCTTTCAATTAGATAAAAATATCTATTATCCACAAAAAATAACTGAAAACACATATTTTTTAGATTAAGTTAACACAAAAAATAACAAGGAAAAAAATTGTAGTCAAGTTTATGTATATAATTCAGGTTTTTTTTTCAAATGCGGCACCCCAATTGTTTCCGAGGTCTTATCAAAAAAATTAGTAGACTGTTTGAAAAACCCAAGGGCAATCTACCTTGTCCAACGTATTAGCATAGATATATAAAGAGGGAACCTGCCACCAGCATTTTGGGCACCTTGCCGCGGGGACCCAATTTTATTGAGTTAAGTCTAGTTATAGTTTTTTTAAGCTTTTATTGTAATATACACCTTAGCTCGTTTAAATTGAAACAAATACATGTAACTGTTGATGTTCACACACATGTGACATGACGACCTCGGTGGCCCAACGCTTTGCATTGTGGGCATTGGACGTGGACGTCCCGAATTCGATTCCCGTAGGAAGCTTTTGGGAAATGAACCTTTCTAAACTGGTTGTCATCTGGGTATTCTGGGCAGTGCCCCCAGAAGAATTCTGTTGCTCTGGTACTCATGGTACAGGGGATTAACTTGTTTGAGACCAGGTAATTGTGTGGTTGTTCGGCACATTATTACATTATGTGTATATTTACGTGGTGAATCTGGACACTGACTGAGAAATACATGACATCTCTTTCTTTCTCGTTTAGAATACGGATGAACATACATTGTACACATCAAATTGTGTCCATTAAGTTCGTTACATAGTTTCATTAGGTAGCGTCAGTCAGTATGAAGCTATTTTGTTTCTATTTAATATTTAAGGAACAGGAATGTGTTGTAAAGATACTGGACAGCGCTGTAGACAAGTGGCGCCGCCTGGAGTTGAAACTTTGTACGTTAAGGGATTTACAGACCGAATCCGCCGACCCGGCGACACAGCCCAGCTTGGTGTTGGCCTTATTTCTAATCTAATCCTATGACATTATTCTAGAAACAAGGCCGCGGACATCATCCCGCCCGGGTCGGGGGTTCGGTCTGTAGACCCGTTTAAAGGCCAAGTTGTACAAGAGATTCGTCATTTTGATATACAAGAAATATTTAGCGTCCTTAATGAACGCTCTGTTATATAGAACTACAGCAGGCTTTTTACGATTGGATAAGAAAGATAAGATAGTTAAGTGGCCATAAACTTTACCTAAAATTTACTACGTTATTGTAGCTAATGGTCGTTTGTTTGACTTTAGTTTCCTATATTTTCAAGAGGTGGCGCTCGCAAAACTACGATACCAAATTTCATATACAAAAAATTACTATTTTAAGGTCACTCAATATTAGAATATTAAATCTACAGTCAACAGCTGCGATTCAATTGTCAAAATAAAACTGTATTTAAATAAATGATTATCACTAATATCAGGTTTCTTACCACGGTATGACTTCTTTTTATTTTCCCGATATTTCGAAGCGATTGCACGCTCCATGGTCACGGGTTGACTGGCAGTCAAATGAATGACCTTAAATAGTATTTAGTAGACATTCATACACATCGTATCAACTTTGAACGATTCTCAAAGTACCATTTAGCGCCATCTATTACCACAATATTGAACTATGAATTTATAAACTGTCACTAAATTTAAAAGACGATTTTAATATGACGGTCTCTCTGCAGTATTCAGTATATGTACCGGGTACTTAGACTATGTCTTTTATTTTTTTCCATCCTCTAAGACCGGGTATGTTAGAAAATAAAAACTTCCGCACGAAGAGCAAGGCTACAACTGAATGAAAAATATTTTTTTAAATAGCATTCGGGTCGGTGCCCTCTAATTGGGCTGCCAAATAAATTTAAATATAACTAAATAAACATAATATACACATATATACAGTAATACATATACAGTAAGTCTGTTACTAATTATATATGGGTTCAGGTCCGAAATAAATGCATATTATTATTATTATTATCGTATTTATTTTAAACTCTCGCCTCTCCCAAGGCCTAAAAGATTAATTTATTATTATTTTTATTATTATTATTAGAAATAAATCTCACTTACCTTTTTGTTTCCCAAAGAAGATACATAGCTTCGTGATACCATTTTCAACTAGAGCTCTTTTAACTACAGCTTGGGAGTCTGTTAATAAATGGTACACCGTCGAACGAACCTGAAAGTGAGTAGGAAATAATAATAAAATAAAGACATCAGGAAGTATCCTTGATAACGGAAAGACGTTGCTGGCCGCCACCATTACTTTGCAAGCAATATTTGGCATTCATAATTTGCAATTCACTGATTCTATTCTAGGTGTCTTAAGGCGGCCTCTTACGGTCACTTTACAGATTTCCTCGCACAACCGATTACGCAGCCACACACAGGCTCCGCCTTTTTCATATTAATGACTAAATAATTATAACGTCATAACGGCACCGCTACAGACGCGTCTGCGTTACCACAGACGAGTCTTTTCCTGTGCTTAGCAGGTACGGCTCGTGCAAAGTGGTCAATAAAACCACAGACCGTGAGATGCCGCTTAGTATAATGCCGGGTGTTTATGGTTTCGTCGTTGTTTCCGATTTCCATAACACAAGTGCTTTACTTACTTACTTTGGGATCAGAGCAACGTACGTGATTTTGTCTAATATTTATTTATTTCAAATAAGAGTTTTTCATTAATATTTTTACCATTTCATGCAGAGCGGATAGTTCAGTCTCATAGTTAATGTTAGCAGCTTCTTTGTCTACCATGTTCTGCGTCTGGTCAAGGAAACGAACCGCTGTCTCGGCTAGTTTGGCTGCAAATAAAGAAGTGATGAGTCATCTTTTTGGGCCACTTTAGTGGAATAAATTGTAATATGTCATAACATATAATCATAATATCATAATATGTTATAATATAAACCGCGTTTAGTTAGATTGTATATTTATGTAACTGTCGGTTTTAGGCCATTGGGCCGCTTCGGACTATTAAGTAGTATATTCTGGAAAATATTTTGCTATTGTCGTTTTGAACAGGTTTGTAACCATAGTGCCATTTCCGGCTGCTTAGATGTGACTTACCAATATTATTAGCAGTTGCTATTCGCACGGTAACGGCTGGGTCCGTAGCACACAACGCGAGTTCTGGTAAGATGTATTCAGGGAAGACATTGCAGTCTGCTTTGGGCAGGTTTCGGACCATAGCAACACACCGAGCTGCTGTGTGGACCGCGGCGGCCCGGACTCGAGACACTGAGTCATGGGACAGGTGTATCTAAGACATGGAATATTTTTATTATGTTTATTATAGTTCAGTCATTACACAGGATGTAACCGAAAGGTGCAGTGTAAATTCAAGGCCGTAGAGAGTTACTATGAAATAGTAAATTGGCATTAATTTTTGTTGAATGTTGACTAATTATTTTAATTTCATTGAAAAAAAAAAAAAATACGATAATGCGTCGTTATCGATTTACAGTCATTTTATGAAATCTGATTAAATATCTGTTCTTTCAGTGTTTTCAACATAATAATATAAAGTGACGGGACGAACAAGTCGTGCGACTGATGGTAATCTACACGCCTGTCCATAACAGTGGCAGTACCACTAACACAATCGCAAAGATCTGAGAGGCACTGGCACATCGTCCATCACCCTGAGACGTAAGTTGACAAGTCCCATGTGCCTGTAATTTCACCAGCACCCTTACCCTTCAAAACCGGAACACAAACTGCTGACATTACTACTTGGAAGCAAAAATAGGTAAGGTGATGAATTCTTTCACAAGGAGCTCTACTGTTACTAAAATAGTAACACTACTAACACATACTACCACAAAGTAGTTCAAGAGTATGGTAATAGATGGCGCCACAAAAGTTATACACTGACTTTAGTAAGTCTGTTTCCTAAGTTTAATGGGCGACATCTATAAAGAATAAACAATATGTCGCACGGGAATAGGGCTCCAGAACGAAAACAAATTATCCTCCCTCAAAGAGCTACCTAAGGCGTGGAATACCTTAAACAGTGAGACTGTTATGTAAACATCTATTTCTAGGTATAATTAAAGAATCACACTTACAATATAAGGCAAGATCCGATCCAAAATTGTTTCCGAGCTAGAATTCTCGCATAACAACTGCAAAATCTCCAAACTGTACAACTTCGACGTGCAATGATGTAATCCTCTTATACATGACGTCACCAGTGACGTAATCAGTATCAGACCTTCGCTATCGGGTCCCAAGTCCTGTCTCTCAGGTGCTTTTTCAAAATCTTCCGCATAGTCTATGGTATTAACCGGTAAAACTTTGAAGCCGTCTTTTAAATTGTCTATGGTTATATTTTGATTATCTGTGGTCTCCTCTACTAAATCTTGATAGTTTTTGGCATCAGATGGTTGAGTAAATATTTTGATGATATTCTTTATGTCCTGGTGTATGCGGAGAATTTTTTCGTCTGGCGGTAATATAGGCTGGGCAGAAAATATTAACATGTACGACTGGAGGAATGAGTAGAAGTATTCAGGGAACAGTCTGAAATATAAATTTATTTTAAGTTTATCAGTTTAAATTTTCTGGATATGTCGAAGGAATTTTCTTTGTGCATAAAATGTTTTTTTTTCCATGGACATACACATAGACAACTACAAATTACACCCAAACTCACAAGAGCATTAAATGTAGGCCATACAAATATTTCTCCCGGCCCGGGAATCGAACCCGGGACCTCTGTGTGGCAGTCCAGCATGGTAACAGTTTGGCCATGGAGGCAGTTAACTAAGTTAATGTGAGTATAACTTCAGAAATTCAGAAATAGATAACAAATTACACCCAAACCGCTTTCGTGAGATTGGTGTAATTTGTGGTTGTCTATGTGTGTGTCCATGGCACCCGCGACACAGGGTTTGCCTAGTGCGGGGTAATAAAGCGCGTCCCATCAACAAGCAATACTCGCGCACGTCTCATCAGTCGCGAACCTTGTAAACACTTCCGACGATTAAATTCCGTTACAAAAGTTTCAGAAGCAGAAACGTAAACAGAAGTGAGAAAAAGTGCGGAGCTTCCACAGTTGCGGAAGCAGAACTAACTAACATAACACATAACTACTTTGTACACCTATTTATTATCCGGACGTTTTGCCCTTGTTGTACACACGTGTCTGTTTCACATTATAAATAAAAAATATAATGATGTCTACTTACTTCTCTCTAGCTTCATCGAGGTACAACTCTGCACTCCGTCTGTCTTTGGGATTCCGTTCTGTCATAGAATGTAGAAGGTTTTTCAACAGAGGGTCGCTGCCCTCTGGAAGGGTCATAGTCGATGGTCGGTCTTCCCCATTGCGGAAGGCAAGCAGCCCAGGGAGGTCAAGTGCTGGTGTGCCATCATTCCAAAGTTCTAGAAGGGCGCATCTGTCAGAGATTAAATATTTTTATCGGAGCGAATAGAACCTTCATATTACGAAATTATATTTAAAAAATATGGATAAAAATGATCGTCCAAAGTTATGAAAGAAAAAGTAGAAAATACAAAAGTCGATTAGATATAAAGTGGAATAGATTATATTATATTATGTTGAAGTGACGTTAGGATGACGTTCACGAAGTAAACTACAAACGGTGGTTTTAATTTATAATCTCGTTGTGATAGTTATTGATTTTAAATGGAACGTCACACTGACTTGTTATTTTCTAACAGATAGATGGTGTTAACATTAATTCATCAGATTGTTGTAGAGGCCGCTACTAGCATAGATAACATAATACTATAACATAGTACAGATACCCAATCTCATACAAAGCAATGTCGCACTCGTAACTCCGTTTATTCGGACGCTTATTTTGATTTCTAACGCTAATCAATAGATGGTACTAAGTAAACTCGCGTATTATTCGAAAAGGCCAACAGATAGCAGCCATTATTGCTCTTGTTTAGGCGTTGATTATAAAATATACAATAACATATAATGAAATCGCAAAATAGTTAACTTTTAATATTTTAAACTAAAACGTTAGAATAAATTCAAAGAAATGCCGTACAATTTACTGCAAACTAACAAAAAAAAATGTACACCATTGAGAAACCTTCGATTGGTTATCTCTTCAACGACAGTTTACTTGTTTCACCAATTTTCATAGTTTTGTATTTCTTTTTTAACCAACTTCAAAAAAAGGAGGAGGTTCTTAATTCGTCTATATTTCTTTTTGTATGTATGTTCCGCGATAACTTGGGCATTTGTGAACCGATTTTAATGATTCTTCTTTTCATTTTAATAATTATTCAACTTTTTGTTGGAACGATGGTGCCTCGGTATTGGTCCCATTTAAATTTAAAGAAAATATTCCTTATCTAAAGGTGACAAATTAGGAAATGAATCCGGTTTCGCGTACATTCCGGTAACCGATGCCAATAAAACGTGGCAAATAGATGTAATTCCACGAACTTTTCAAGTAGTCTTTTTTGTATTTTATATTTCTTATTCCGTATGATATACCTCAAATTTTCGAGATTCATTACTTTATATTTTTTTATTTTATCGAAGTGCCGCCATCTACAGTTTTAAATAAGTTTATTTCTAATTTTTATATTAAACCAAGTTTGATTTGTATGAAATGATACTCCATGTTACTAGGTAATTATCAAGCGGCAACATCGAACGTGTCAAGTTTTATAAATCATTACATTAATGGAAGTACTACCAACATGACTGTGTTGCGATTTTCGAAGGATGCTGGTGACATTATAGGTACTTGGTACTTGTCAACTTCATGTCTCAGAGTGGCGGACGCAGTGGCAGTATCACTCAGATCTTTGCGATTTAAAACTCTAGAGTGGCACTGCAGTATCACTTATCAATGAGAGTACTACTTGGTCGTCCTGTCACTTGATTTAAAAAAAAAGTTTCAGGCAAATAAACATAATAACTCAAATCATTCATTTATATCATTCATTAATTTGTCAAAAGAAATAGATCGCAACACCGCAAGGGGTTTGGTGTGCAGAATTTTAAAAAAGTATGTGTAGAAAACTTACCCTGCGGAAAATATGTCCATACTAGGCACAAGCTCGCCAACCTTGCATGGTGATTCACTCAGCAACAAGCCTCCAGACTTGTCATCACTCTGAAAATATTGTTTCATAGTACTTGCAATATAACCATCTATCTACATTGGATCCTAATTCTGAATTCCTGTGCTGTGCTCTGGCAGGTTGAATCAGACTCCTTTTTAAAGGACTGGCCAGATACAGTCCAAAACCGGAATCAATAGAAAAAGAATGGGGGATAATAATAACGCGCACACACTCTTAGCCCCGCACTAGAGAAACCCTGTATCACTGGTGCGATGGACACACACCCAAACTCACGAGTGAAATAAATGAAATGAATGTAGGCCATACAAATATTTCTCTCGGCCTGGGAATTGAGCCCGTGACATCTGCGTGGCAGTCTAGCATGGTAACCGTTCGGCCATGGAGGAAGCCTTTGCATTGAGTCACAGGCTTATAATAATAATGTGGGGGCCATATCTCTATGGTAGGCAGTTATTGTTACATCTAAGAAACATTCTGAACTGGAAATCACAAGGATCTTTCCATTGTTTATTATGTTATTTAGAACTATATTTTCTGGTACATGTCGTCTGTTTAAAGGTAAATAGAGAGAGGTAAGAGACGATATTTCTTTATAAGTGGACCGCGCAGCCAACAAACAATTTACAAATTATTAATACAGAAAACTTAAATCGACTATTGTGGATTTTTTGCTTATTTTGATATGGCAATAAATACAAAGAAATAAGTACCTATAGTCTACTTAATTAGGTGCATTTTCGCCTATTGATATAGTGGAAGCAGGGATACAATGCACAAGAAGCTAATATTGTGTGCCAGATACTTACAATGGGTCGATTGGATGGGTCAGGCGCCCGAACAAAGCGCTCAGGTGCGACGTAGCATAATCTCCGTCGCGACGTGTCAAAGAAATAGCTGAAGTCCGCTGGATTGTCGTCGGGCAAGAAGGTTGGCTTAAATGAAGCTATGTCTGTGAGAAGCACCCACAGCCATGAAGTTACCATTATGTTTTCCAGCTGTAAATGTAATTAAATTATGACTTGGCATTGTGAAAACAAACAAATTGATTAATTTAATTTAATTTTTAACCGACATCAAAAAAGAAGGACGTATGTTACGCGATAATTCCAGTAACATTTGTGATATAGGGCCACATAATTGTTCAAGAAGGCCCCGTTAAATACAAGCAAAGATAGATAGATAGTTAATACATTTAATTGCTCCAACACAAAAAAAAAACAAAAACAGTATATAGACAACTTAGAATTAATGTGGGCAAAGGTGCCCTTATCGCTGAAAGCGAGCTCTTCCAGACAACACATGAACAAAAGGCTCTCCTTTTGTGTATTGAGCCTCTTTTTAAATCAATTAATATGTGTCTGTCACGACTGCATTACTACGTAAAGCCAAATACACCAGAGGGTCGTGCGGTTGGAGTTCCGCCACAACGTAAATTTTAATTCGTTGATGGTAAGAGTGCCGACAGGTTATCTGTTGACCTTCATGAACGAGGAGTTTTTGAGCGAACGGTGTCGTATACCAGACGTATGAGACGATGTCGTATACCGATTCCGAGGTCGGTTACCAGACACTACGTTGAGCAACAAGTCGCCGACAAGTACAATTCGTCTAAATTAGTTATTTAGTATTTTTTATATTATGTTACATGGAATAATATGAGGTACATATTCCATGGGTCATAGTCGCTACTTAAATAAATAATTTAAAAAATGTATACAGAAAAAACAAGCAAAACACTAAAACCCTACCTTAATATCCCCATGGCATATGCCGAGTTTATGCATGCGATGCAATGCATATAACACTTGAAACGTGATCCATTTCTTCTCGAGAATTGTGAGGAACGGCCGTGTGGACATACGATCGTACACGCTGCATTTGCAATACTCACGCATGAGCAGACCAGCCTTGTCAGTGAGCTGCAGGAGAAATAAAATTACATATAAACCATGAAACTAGCAAGAGAATCAACATCAAAGCGCCGCATCTCGTGTCGCACGGCAATGTGAATATGTAAAGAAATAAACGACTTTGCCAAAGATTAAATAAATACATTATTTATTTGAGGTAGTTTGTATCACTAATGAGTTTGAATTAATAAGGGAAATGTATCTATAAATTGTCCCCGTCGTACCATTCCGTACCTACACATATATATGGCGCAGCCTATGCAACAATAAGTACCTTACGTCGATTGGCAAAACCTTTCACCACGATGGCAAGCATTAAAGTGTAAGTCATTGATACAATAAGAAGTATTAATTAGTCTGTGATCAATTACATCAATCAATAAAATCTCAACCAACATATCAATAAGGGAAATAATATACTAAATATGCCTACTACATAAAATTTCAAGAAGAATTCTTCTAATGAAAGCTAGAACATTTCGATAAGGGCTCTGATACGTCACGACAAGACGATTGGCAAAATTTCCCCTTTGAATAGTTGAAACTTTTTTTGGCAGGAATAACTGCCAGCTTTCGTAACTACAAAGTAAGTAGTAAGTAGCAACACGGCTTATATATGTCCACGCCCACCGCAGTTGCATAGCGTGGACACACGCGCCTTTCATTAAAGAATTTCCGTTTTTTTTTCAAATTATGTTTACGACCTTTAGATCCAACTAAAATAATAATGTGGCAACCCTAAGCTCCTAGCGACGTGGAAGCATTGACTGTGGCCCCTAGGGACATTGTGCTTCAATAAGCTGAAAATATATATATACAAAAAAAAAGCTGTAAATATATACATATATGTTAAATATAGCCAGTAGTTTCAGAGTACAAACTTTAATTTCAATAGTTTAATTTTTAAATAATAAATTCCTAAATTCATTGTCTTATAATTTTTGACATTATATATTTTGATGTTATTCAAATATTACTATAACTTTTTTCTTTACAATTATTATCTTTCACATTATCCAAATAACTTATTTCATTACATGCATTTGTCCACATCTCTATGGTATTTCAAAAAAACATGCTACGCTTAGTTCATTGAAGTGCATGTGTGTAGTATATCGTCAATGTGTATGTATTCCTAATATTTGGCCAGACAAAGTGAAACTATGCTTATTTTGTTAACTTCTATACAACATGTGTTTTCATATATAAATGAGTTATGAAAAAACAAATTGAATATCTGGCTTGCGTAAATCTAAAACAATGGTGGTCAAATACTTGATTTAAAACAAATGTTAAACACTGAGATAAATATTGACAAAGCATTGTTATTAATGTATATTTTATTTATTTATTTGCAAATTTTACAGCAAGCAAAATTGCAAATTTTAAATCAAATTTAAAAATTTGATTTATAATCTTGAATTACAAACTTTAAGAACCAACTATTAGAAAAATTAAAAGATAAATGTCCCTAAATCTGTCCTCATAAATATGCTCAATTATCTGTGCAATAACATGTATATGCAAGTCATTATTTAATTTTTTTTATTTTGCATAAGTGTAAAAAATTCAACTCACAATAACTCTCTGAAAGGGCAAGCAATTAAATGTTGAAGCCAATTGTTCCTTAATCTTCAAGATCCTTTCTTTGTGTTCCGCCAGAGGTAAGGAAGGATCATGGACTGCAAATACTTTGACCACTATGAGGCCTTCCCTGGACTTTGCACGGGCCACTTTGAGGAACCGGGTTGAACCCAAACTGCAAGACATAAAGACAGAATTAAGACCTTAATCTTCTAGGGGTGCATACTAACCTGATGAGTATGCTGCAGGCATGCCGCTCAGTGCGCATCGGTAGACAAGCAAGGATATGTGGCGCGCAAGGGACGTGCAAACAACTCGCAAATAGATTGCACAAGTTAATGCATGTGTACAGCTCGTGAGCCTTTCGCAAACAGGCGCGTTTGCCACGTCTATACAAAGCCTAGCATACTACTACTAAACATAGTAATATGGCCTGGTTTATATAACTCAGGTGTTGTGGTGCCTATTCTGCATGCTATTTAGTCTTCTATGGGCACGTCATCATGAGTGATTAAAGTGTGGCAAAAAAGAGTGATGATGATGGCCTAGTCTGTACACTGGTTATTCTGTTGTCCACTTGGTTAGATAAGGTACACACACAGTAAGTTTGAATAATTCTATACATTAAACTTCTTCCTTTTATTTATTGGTGGTGCCAAGTCAAGTTTTCCGATAAGTCAATTTTATAGGTTCCAGTGGGTTCCTAAAAAATGTTAGTTACCTGTATCTTACATTACTGAGAACCTTGTACATATTTTTGTGGAGAAATAAACACATTATTATGATTACCTTGTTAGAGAAAACAAGCTTACATAATGAATTTTAAAGTTGCAGACCTAAAAGGCTTATATATACAATAATAAGAGTTGGAGTTCACTTGGTTGACAAAAGCTTTACACTCTCTCTCTATAGATGGAACCCATATCCTACTTCACAGAGACAGTGTCCTAAAATACTGTTTATTTCTTTGTATCAAACCAAATACTCTCTCACTGCTGGTACAGGATATTCAAAACGAAAGTAGATGACATCTGAATAATAAAATTTGCCATTCGCAAATAAATTTAGTAGACATAGCAATAACAAATGCCTATTGAAAGGTCACAGACACTTTAATTATGTTTTGTCTCACCTCTGATCAAACGATAAGTCGACATGGTCGCTCAGGTAATGCTCTACGGGATAGATTTGCGACGGAGCAACACCCACAAGTTGATTACCCATCGTTGAATACAAAAATTTATAAGGAATTAAAACATGATCATTTATTTTTATTTACAAAGCCTATCTACATCGAATATGGTCGAAAAATTACACTACACAGATTTATCTACAATAACATGTTAAATAAAATCGTAATTTTCTTCGTCAACTTCAACTTTATAGTATTGATAGCAATAAAAACAAAGAAATTTTATAATGAATCGAATTTGGCCATTTGATTGACGTTGACGTACTCAACTTCAACTTTTGTATCTATGGCTTCGTCGTTTTGCGCGACGATTTCGCCAAGCAACGTCAGGGTTTTTCAACCCAGACATGTAGAGCGGTGCGTGGTGAGATAGATTGCCTCAATTAAACGTGTTCATTTAGCTTAAGTTTTATGTTCAGAAATACAGACTTGTACGAAAGAGATGACGATAGGAAGATTTTACATAGATAGACAAAGACAACCAGAAAAATTAAATTGCTACTGCAACATCAACCTGTTTTGGGTTTTTTATAGAACATAATCATCATTCACCGGATTTCAAAAAAAATTGTTGCAGTTCTAAAACCTTTGACAAACTACACCTCATCAAGATTCATTCTGGGCCTTTTGGAGGGAAAAGTGTCGTTTTTATTTTGACTTTCAATTATTTTGTGAAATCTAGTTTAAAGTGGAATGGGATAGTGCTATTGTGCCTTAATCGAAGATTAAAACGCGAAATTATACGAATCTCGAACTAAAATACCCGTATCGGCCCGTTCTAAGGAATCTCGTGTCAATCCAAGCACGTCGTCGCCTCAAATTGCTTATCCTCTTACGAAGACATGGCTCAAAAGACTTATATCCAAGCCAAAATTATTAATAAAAAAAACTTCATCAAATCGTCAATCGGCTGTCACTCTAGTCACTTTTCTCTGCTCTATGGTTTCTGTCCTCCTCAACAAACAAGCATTCCACCCATTTTTACTGAATTTTCCAAAGTTCACTGCAAATTATTCACAGAGATGACTTCTAAAAGTGAAAAGGATCGAGCCAAACAGATCCAGGATCGATGTCAGAACATATTGATGCAAATGCTGAAGGATGAAGACAATAAATATTGTGTGGATTGTGACGCGAAGGGTAAGTTGATTTTTCTTTTTTCATTCGCAAAATTCGTTGGTCATTTGCATTTCTAGTGAAAAGAGTGACTAATACAGCATACAGATCGCATATTACAGACTTCATTTGAAATTTAAAGCGTGCAAATTAATTTTTTCAAGGATTGTTCGACACGAGTCAAAAGTACGAATTAATTGATGAAGTATTCATGTAAACTCAATATGAACTCGTTATCGTTCGAAGTCTAATTTACGATTGCCTTCCACGCATTGAGTTGTCTAGTTCTGATAATGAAGTCAATAACCTCTGCATAATAAACCAATTGGTGAGACCGCCTTGGCCTAATGGCGCTCAGCTGGAGGTCACCAGATGGAATTCAGACAAGTTCGATTAGGTCTGATTACAAAAGTGCTGCTGTTTTTTTTTGCAAGATTTGAGTTTATTATTATTATTATGTGCGTTATTATTTGTTTTGAAGAAAACAATATGAAAAAAAAAATTGTTGATGTTTTGGCTTGATGGATTTATTCTGGGAAGGACTGTACATTACCATCGCACGATTTGAGGGGAGGGAGGGGGGTGGGGGGAAGGGGGGGAGGGAAGGGGACCCTTCGTGCAAAGTTTCAAAGTTAGGAAGTTAATAGTTTCGGGGGGAGGGAAGGGGACCCTTCGTGCAAAGTTTCAAAGTTAGGAAGTTAATAGCTTTCGAGATATTAATTTTTGAAAATTCGAAAAAAATAACCTCAAAAAAATCATGTTTTCGCACCATAGAGCGGGTTAAAACCCCCCCCCC